TTTTTTTCTACACTTTTAGGTGTATTTTGTGCAAGAATTTGCATTAAAATCTTCTGCCAAAGGAAAATTGAATTTTTTTGGGAACTTTTATGATTTTGGATTTATGGGTTGGATGACTTTTTGGTGGTAATAGGTGTCTTCCTCTACTCGTATTTGGCTGTCAATTTTTTTCTACACTTTTAGGAGTATTTTGTGCAAGAATTTGCATTAAAATCGTCCGCCAAAGTTAGATTTAAATTTTTTTGGGAACTATTTTAAAATTTTGGATTTATGGGTTGGATGACTTTTTGGTGGTAATAGGTGTCTTCCTCTACTCGTATTTGGCTGTCAATTTTTTTCTACACTTTGAGGAGTATTTTGTTCAAGAATTTACATTAAAATCGTCTGCCGAAGATAAATTGTATTTTTTTGGGAACTTTTTTATGATTTTCGATTTATAGGTTGGATGACTTTTTGGTTGTTATAGGTGTCTTCCTCTACTTGTATTTGGCTGTCAATTTTTTTCTACACTTTTAGGTGTATTTTGTACAAGAATTTGCATTAAAATCGTCTGCCTAAGAAAAATTGAATTTTTTTGGGAACTTTTTTATGATTTTGGATTTATGGGTTGGATGACTTTTTGGTGGTAATAGGTGTCTTCCTCTACTCGTATTTGGCTGTCAATTTTTTTCTACACTTTTAGGTGTATTTTGTGCAAGAATTTGCATTAAAATCGTCTGCCTAAGGAAAATTGAATTTTTTTGGGAACTTTTTTATGATTTTCGATTTCTGGGTTGGATGACTTTTTGGTGGTAATAGGTGTCTTCCTCTACTCGTATTTGGCTGTCAATTTTTTGCTACACTTTTAGGTGTATTTTGTGCAAGAATTTGCATTAAAATTGTCAGCCTAAGGAAAATTGAATTTTTTTGGGAACTTTTTTATGATTTTGGATTTATGGGTTGGATGACATTTTGGTGGTAATAGGTCTCTTCCTCTACTCGTATTTAGCTGTCAATTTTTTTCTACACTTTTAGGAGTATTTTGTGCAAGAATTTGCATTTAAATCGTCCGCCTAAGTTAGATTTGAATTTTTTTGGGAACTTTTTTATGATTTTGGATTTATAGGTTGGATGACTTTTTGGTGGTAATAGGTCTCTTCCTCTACTCGTATTTGGCTGTCAATTTTTTTCTACACTTTTAGGAGTATTTTGTGCAAGAATTTTCATTAAAATTGTCCGCCTAAGTTAGATTTGAATTTTTTTGGGAACTTTTTTATGATTTTGGATTTATAGGTTGGATGACTTTTTGGTGGTAATAGGTGTCTTCCTCTACTCGTATTTGGCTGTCAATTTTTTTCTACACTTTTATGAGTATTTTGTGCAAGAATTTGCATTAGAATCGTCTGCCTAAGGAAAATTGAATTTTTTTGGGAACTTTTTTATGATTTTGGATTTCTGGGTTAGATGACTTTTTGGTGGTAATAGGTGTCTTCCTCTACTCGTATTTGGCTGTCAATTTTTTTCTACACTTTTAGGTGTATTTTGTGCAAGAATTTGCATTAAAATTGTCTGCCTAAGGAAAATTGAATTTTTTTGGGAACTTTTTTATGATTTTGGATTTATGGCTTGGATGACTTTTTGGTGGTAATTGGTGTCTTCCTCTACTCGTATTTGGCTGTCAATTTTTTGCTACACTTTTAGGTGTATTTTGTGCAAGAATTTGCATTAAAATTGTCAGCCTAAGAAAAATTGAATTTTTTTGGGAAGTTTTTTATGATTTTGGATTTCTGGGTTGGATGACTTTTTGGTGGTAATAGGTGTCTTCCTCTACTCGTATTTGGCTGTCAATTTTTTTCTACACTTTTAGGTGTATTTTGTGCAAGAATTTGCATTAAAATCGTCTGCCTAAGGAAAATTGAATTTTTTTGGGAACTTTTTTATGATTTTGGATTTATGGGTTGGATGACATTTTGGTGGTAATAGGTCTCTTCCTCTACTCGTATTTGGCTGTCAATTTTTTTCTACACTTTTAGGAGTATTTTGTGCAAGAATTTGCATTAAAATCGTCCGCCTAAGTTAGATTTGAATTTTTTTGGGAACTTTTTTATGATTTTGGATTTATGGCTTGGATGACTTTTTGGTGGTAATAGGTGTCTTCCTCTACTCGTATTTGGCTGTCAATTTTTTTCTACACTTTTAGGTGTATTTTGTGCAAGAATTTGCATTAAAATCTTCTGCCAAAGGAAAATTGAATTTTTTTGGGAACTTTTATGATTTTGGATTTATGGGTTGGATGACTTTTTGGTGGTAATAGGTGTCTTCCTCTACTCGTATTTGGCTGTCAATTTTTTTCTACACTTTTAGGAGTATTTTGTGCAAGAATTTGCATTAAAATCGTCCGCCAAAGTTAGATTTAAATTTTTTTGGGAACTATTTTATAATTTTGGATTTATGGGTTGGATGACTTTTTGGTGGTAATAGGTGTCTTCCTCTACTCGTATTTGGCTGTCAATTTTTTTCTACACTTTGAGGAGTATTTTGTTCAAGAATTTACATTAAAATCGTCTGCCGAAGATAAATTGTATTTTTTTGGGAACTTTTTTATGATTTTCGATTTATAGGTTGGATGACTTTTTGGTTGTTATAGGTGTCTTCCTCTACTTGTATTTGGCTGTCAATTTTTTTCTACACTTTGAGGAGTATTTTGTTCAAGAATTTACATTAAAATCGTCTGCCTAAGGAAAATTGAATTTTTTTGGGAACTTTTTTATGATTTTGGATTTATGGCTTGGATGACTTTTTGGTGGTAATAGGTGTCTTCCTCTACTCGTATTTGGCTGTCAATTTTTTTCTACACTTTTAGGTGTATTTTGTGCAAGAATTTGCATTAAAATCTTCTGCCAAAGGAAAATTGAATTTTTTTGGGAACTTTTATGATTTTGGATTTATGGGTTGGATGACTTTTTGGTGGTAATAGGTGTCTTCCTCTACTCGTATTTGGCTGTCAATTTTTTTCTACACTTTTATGAGTATTTTGTGCAAGAATTTGCATTAGAATCGTCTGCCTAAGGAAAATTGAATTTTTTTGGGAACTTTTTTATGATTTTGGATTTCTGGGTTAGATGACTTTTTGGTGGTAATAGGTGTCTTCCTCTACTCGTATTTGGCTGTCAATTTTTTTCTACACTTTTAGGTGTATTTTGTGCAAGAATTTGCATTAAAATTGTCTGCCTAAGGAAAATTGAATTTTTTTGGGAACTTTTTTATGATTTTGGATTTATGGCTTGGATGACTTTTTGGTGGTAATAGGTGTCTTCCTCTACTCGTATTTGGCTGTCAATTTTTTTCTACACTTTTAGGTGTATTTTGTGCAAGAATTTGCATTAAAATTGTCTGCCTAAGAAAAATTGAATTTTTTTGGGAACTTTTTTATGATTTTGGATTTATGGCTTTGATGACTTTTTGGTGGTAATAGGTGTCTTCCTCTACTCGTATTTGGCTGTCAATTTTTTTCTACACTTTTATGAGTATTTTGTGCAAGAATTTGCATTAGAATCGTCTGCCTAAGGAAAATTGAATTTTTTTGGGAACTTTTTTATGATTTTGGATTTATGGCTTGGATGACTTTTTGGTGGTAATAGGTGTCTTCCTCTACTCGTATTTGGCTGTCAATTTTTATCTACACTTTTATGAGCATTTTGTGCAAGAATTTGCATTAAAATCGTCTGCCTAAGGAAAATTGAATTTTTTTTGGAACTTTTTTATGATTTTCGATTTCTGGCTTGGATGACTTTTTGGTGGTAATAGGTGTCTTCCTCTACTCGTATTTGGCTGTCAATTTTTTTCTACACTTTTAGGAGTATTTTGTGCAAGAATTTGCATTAAAATCGTCTGCCTAAGGAAAATTGAATTTTTTTGGGAACTTTTTTATGATTTTGGATTTATAGGTTGGATGACTTTTTGGTGGTAATAGGTTTCTTCCTCTACTCGTATTTGACTGTCAATTTTTTTCTACACTTTTAGAAATATTTTGTGCAAGAATTTGCATTAAAATCGTCTGCCTAAGTTAGATTTGAATTTTTTTGGGAACTTTTTTATGATTTGCGATTTCTGGGTTGGATGACTTTTTGGTGGTAAAAGGTGTCTTCCTCTACTCGTATTTGGCTGTCAATTTTTTTCTACACTTTGAGGAGTATTTTGTTCAAGAATTTACATTAAAATCGTCTGCCTAAGATAAATTGAATTTTTTTGGGAACTTTTTTATGATTTTCGATTTATTGGTTGGATGACTTTTTGGTTGTTATAGGTGTCTTCCTCTACTCGTATTTGGCTGTCAATTTTTTTCTACACTTTTAGGTGTATTTTGTGCAAGAATTTGCATTAAAATCGTCTGCCTAAGGAAAATTGAATTTTTTTGGGAACTTTTTTATGATTTTCGATTTCTGGGTTGGATGACTTTTTGGTGGTAATAGGTGTCTTCCTCTACTCGTATTTGGCTATCAATTTTTTTCTACACTTTGAGGAGTATTTTGTGCAAGAATTTGCATTAAAATCGTCCGCCTAAGTTAGATTTGAATTTTTTTGGGAACTTTATTATGATTTTGGATTTATGGCTTGGATGAATTTTTGGTGGTAATAGGTGTCTTCCTCTACTCGTATTTGGCTGTCAATTTTTTTCTACACTTTTAGGAGTATTTTGTGCAAGAATTTGCATTAAAATCGTCTGCCTAAGGAAAATTGAATTTTTTTGGGAACTTTTTTATGATTTTGGATTTATGGGTTGGATGACTTTTTGGTGGTAATAGGTCTCTTCCTCTACTCGTATTTGGCTGTCAATTTTTTTCTACACTTTTAGGAGTATTTTGTGCAAGAATTTGCATTAAAATTGTCAGCCTAAGAAAAATTGAATTTTTTTGGGAAGTTTTTTATGATTTTGGATTTCTGGGTTGGATGACTTTTTGGTGGTAATAGGTGTCTTCCTCTACTCGTATTTGGCTGTCAATTTTTTTCTACACTTTTAGGAGTATTTTGTGCAAGAATTTGCATTAAAATCGTCTGCCTAAGGAAAATTGAATTTTTTTGGGAACTTTTTTATGATTTTGGATTTATGGGTTGGATGACTTTTTGGTGGTAATAGGTGTCTTCCTCTACTCGTATTTGGCTGTCAATTTTTTTCTACACTTTGAGGAGTATTTTGTTCAAGAATTTACATTAAAATCGTCTGCCTAAGGAAAATTGAATTTTTTTGGGAACTTTTTTATGATTTTGGATTTATGGCTTGGATGACTTTTTGGTGGTAATAGGTCTCTTCCTCTACTCGTATTTGGCTGTCAATTTTTATCTACACTTTTATGAGCATTTTGTGCAAGAATTTGCATTAAAATCGTCTGCCTAAGGAAAATTGAATTTTTTTGGGAACTTTTTTATGATTTGCGATTTCTGGGTTGGATGACTTTTTGGTGGTAATAGGTGTCTTCCTCTACTCGTATTTGGCTATCAATTTTTTTCTACACTTTGAGGAGTATTTTGTGCAAGAATTTGCATTAAAATCGTCCGCCTAAGTTAGATTTGAATTTTTTTGGGAACTTTATTATGATTTTGGATTTATGGCTTGGATGAATTTTTGGTGGTAATAGGTGTCTTCCTCTACTCGTATTTGGCTGTCAATTTTTTTCTACACTTTTAGGTGTATTTTGTGCAAGAATTTGCATTAAAATTGTCAGCCTAAGAAAAATTGAATTTTTTTGGGAAGTTTTTTATGATTTTGGATTTCTGGGTTGGATGACTTTTTGGTGGTAATAGGTGTCTTCCTCTACTCGTATTTGGCTGTCAATTTTTTTCTACACTTTTAGGTGTATTTTGTGCAAGAATTTGCATTAAAATCGTCTGCCTAAGGAAAATTGAATTTTTTTGGGAACTTTTTTATGATTTTGGATTTATGGGTTGGATGACATTTTGGTGGTAATAGGTCTCTTCCTCTACTCGTATTTGGCTGTCAATTTTTTTCTACACTTTTAGGAGTATTTTGTGCAAGAATTTGCATTAAAATCGTCCGCCTAAGTTAGATTTGAATTTTTTTGGGAACTTTTTTATGATTTTGGATTTATGGCTTGGATGACTTTTTGGTGGTAATAGGTGTCTTCCTCTACTCGTATTTGGCTGTCAATTTTTTTCTACACTTTTAGGTGTATTTTGTGCAAGAATTTGCATTAAAATCTTCTGCCAAAGGAAAATTGAATTTTTTTGGGAACTTTTATGATTTTGGATTTATGGGTTGGATGACTTTTTGGTGGTAATAGGTGTCTTCCTCTACTCGTATTTGGCTGTCAATTTTTTTCTACACTTTTAGGAGTATTTTGTGCAAGAATTTGCATTAAAATCGTCCGCCAAAGTTAGATTTAAATTTTTTTGGGAACTTTTTTATGATTTTCGATTTCTGGGTTGGATGACTTTTTGGTGGTAATAGGTGTCTTCCTCTACTCGTATTTGGCTGTCAATTTTTTTCTACACTTTTAGGAGTATTTTGTGCAAGAATTTGCATTAAAATCGTCTGCCTAAGGAAAATTGAATTTTTTTGGGAACTTTTTTATGATTTTGGATTTATGGGTTGGATGACATTTTGGTGGTAATAGGTCTCTTCCTCTACTCGTATTTGGCTGTCAATTTTTTTCTACACTTTTAGGAGTATTTTGTGCAAGAATTTGCATTTAAATCGTCCGCCTAAGTTAGATTTGAATTTTTTTTGGAACTTTTTTATGATTTTGGATTTATAGGTTGGATGACTTTTTGGTGGTAATAGGTGTCTTCCTCTACTCGTATTTGGCTGTCAATTTTTTGCTACACTTTTAGGTGTATTTTGTGCAAGAATTTGCATTAAAATTGTCAGCCTAAGAAAAATTGAATTTTTTTGGGAACTTTTTTATGATTTTGGATTTATAGGTTGGATTACTTTTTGGTGGTAATAGGTCTCTTCCTCTACTCGTATTTGGCTGTCAATTTTTTTCTACACTTTTAGGAGTATTTTGTGCAAGAATTTGCATTTAAATCGTCCGCCTAAGTTAGTTTTGAATTTTTTTGGGAACTTTTTTATGATTTTGGATTTATAGGTTGGATGACTTTTTGGTGGTAATAGGTGTCTTCCTCTACTCGTATTTGGCTGTCAATTTTTTGCTACACTTTTATCAGCATTTTGTGCAAGAATTTGCATTAAAATCGTCTGCCTAAGGAAAATTGAATTTTTTTGGGAACTTTTTTATGATTTTCGATTTCTGGGTTGGAAGAATTTTTGGTGGTAATAGGTCTCTTCCTCTACTCGTATTTGGCTGTCAATTTTTTTCTACTCTTTTAGGAGTATTTTGTGCAAGAATTTGCATTAAAATCGTCCGCCTAAGTTAGATTTGAATTTTTTTGGGAACTTTTTTATGATTTTGGATTTATAGGTTGGATGACTTTTTGGTGGTAATAGGTCTCTTCCTCTACTCGTATTTGGCTGTCAATTTTTTTCTACACTTTTAGGTGTATTTTGTGCAAGAATTTGCATTAAAATTGTCTGCCTAAGAAAAATTGAATTTTTTTGGGAACTTTTTTATGATTTTGGATTTATGGCTTTGATGACTTTTTGGTGGTAATAGGTGTCTTCCTCTACTCGTATTTGGCTGTCAATTTTTTTCTACACTTTTATGAGTATTTTGTGCAAGAATTTGCATTAGAATCGTCTGCCTAAGGAAAATTGAATTTTTTTGGGAACTTTTTTATGATTTTGGATTTATGGCTTGGATGACTTTTTGGTGGTAATAGGTGTCTTCCTCTACTCGTATTTGGCTGTCAATTTTTTTCTACACTTTTAGGTGTATTTTGTGCAAGAATTTGCATTAAAATTGTCTGCCTAAGAAAAATTGAATTTTTTTGGGAACTTTTTTATGATTTTGGATTTATGGCTTGGATGACTTTTTGGTGGTAATAGGTGTCTTCCTCTACTCGTATTTGGCTGTCAATTTTTTTCTACACTTTTATGAGTATTTTGTGCAAGAATTTGCATTAGAATCGTCTGCCTAAGGAAAATTGAATTTTTTTGGGAAGTTTTTTATGATTTTGGATTTATGGCTTGGATGACTTTTTTGTGGTAATAGGTGTCTTCCTCTACTCGTATTTGGCTGTCAATTTTTTTCTACACTTTTATGAGTATTTTGTGCAAGAATTTGCATTAGAATCGTCTGCCTAAGGAAAATTGAATTTTTTTGGGAACTTTTTTATGATTTTGGATTTATGGCTTGGATGACTTTTTGGTGGTAATAGGTGTCTTCCTCTACTCGTATTTGGCTGTCAATTTTTTTCTACACTTTTAGGTGTATTTTGTGCAAGAATTTGCATTAAAATTGTCTGCCTAAGAAAAATTGAATTTTTTTGGGAACTTTTTTATGATTTTGGATTTATGGCTTGGATGACTTTTTGGTGGTAATAGGTGTCTTCCTCTACTCGTATTTGGCTGTCAATTTTTTTCTACACTTTTATGAGTATTTTGTGCAAGAATTTGCATTAGAATCGTCTGCCTAAGGAAAATTGAATTTTTTTGGGAAGTTTTTTATGATTTTGGATTTATGGCTTGGATGACTTTTTTGTGGTAATAGGTGTCTTCCTCTACTCGTATTTGGCTGTCAATTTTTTTCTACACTTTTAGGTGTATTTTGTGCAAGAATTTGCATTAGAATCGTGTGCCTAAGGAAAATTGAATTTTTTTGGGAACTTTTTTATGATTTTGGATTTATGGCTTGGATGACTTTTTGGTGGTAATAGGTGTCTTCCTCTACTCGTATTTGGCTGTCAATTTTTTTCTACACTTTTAGGTGTATTTTGTGCAAGAATTTGCATTAAAATTGTCTGCCTAAGAAAAATTGAATTTTTTTGGGAACTTTTTTATGATTTTGGATTTATGGCTTGGATGACTTTTTGGTGGTAATAGGTGTCTTCCTCTACTCGTATTTGGCTGTCAATTTTTTTCTACACTTTTATGAGTATTTTGTGCAAGAATTTGCATTAGAATCGTCTGCCTAAGGAAAATTGAATTTTTTTGGGAAGTTTTTTATGATTTTGGATTTATGGGTTGGATGACTTTTTGGTGGTAATAGGTGTGTTCCTCTACTCGTATTTGGCTGTCAATTTTTTTCTACTCTTTGAGGAGTATTTTGTGCAAGAATTTGCATTAAAATTGTCTGCCTAAGAAAAATTGAATTTTTTTGGGAACTTTTTTATGATTTTGGATTTCTGGGTTGGAAGACTTTTTGGTGGTAATAGGTGTCTTCCTGTACTCGTATTTGGCTGTCAATTTTTTTCTACACTTTGAGAAGTATTTTGTGCAAGAATTTGCATTAAAATCATCCGCCTAAGTTAGATTTGAATTTTTTTAGGAACTTTTTTATGATTTTGGATTTATGGGTTGGATGACTTTTTTGTGGTAATAGGTGTCTTCCTCTACTCGTATTTGGCTGTCAATTTTTTTCTACACTTTTAGGTGTATTTTGTGCAAGAATTTGCATTAGAATCGTCTGCCTAAGGAAAATTGAATTTTTTTGGGAACTTTTTTATGATTTTGGATTTATGGGTTGGATGACTTTTTGGTGGTAATAGGTGTCTTCCTGTACTCGTATTTGGCTGTCAATTTTTTTCTACACTTTGAGAAGTATTTTGTGCAAGAATTTGCATTAAAATCATCCGCCTAAGTTAGATTTGAATTTTTTTAGGAACTTTTTTATGATTTTGGATTTATGGGTTGGATGACTTTTTTGTGGTAATAGGTGTCTTCCTCTACTCGTATTTGGCTGTCAATTTTTTTCTACACTTTTAGGTGTATTTTGTGCAAGAATTTGCATTAGAATCGTCTGCCTAAGGAAAATTGAATTTTTTTGGGAACTTTTTTATGATTTTGGATTTATGGGTTGGATGACTTTTTGGTGGTAATAGGTGTCTTCCTCTACTCGTATTTGGCTGTCAATTTTTTTCTACACTTTTAGGAATATTTTGTGCAAGAATTTGCATTAAAATCGTCTGCCTAAGTTAGATTTGAATTTTTTTGGGAACTTTTTTATGATTTTGGATTTATGGGTTGAATGACTTTTTGGTGGTAATAGGTCTCTTCCTCTACTCGTACCGCCTAAACGCAACCATAACCTCAAAAAAATTCCCAAAAAATTAAGATTTTCTTAGGCAGACTATTTTATTGCAAATTCTTGCACAAAATACAACGAAAGTTGTTGAAAAAAATTTGTTACCCCGATACAAGTAGGGGAAGGATTTGACCACATGTAATTACACGTGTATTTAATAGTTCTCTTGTGGAAAAAACTACGATCTTGCCTAGGAGACTTCCCGAGGCGAAATTTGAATCCTCTTTAGCTTCCCTTAGAACCTAAATAGGCCCTCTTTACGATCTTGTAGACTCCCGTAGGCCCTCCTTTGAATCCAAACGTGGAAGAAAGGTAAATTTGCGACTGGTGGAGGAAGCTAAAGAGGGTCTAGTTCGATTAAAAAAGTACAAAAAAATGCAAAAAAAAAACTCTTTTGATTATTTTGATTAAAGCAAAATGAATTTTTTCTTCACACAATATTTCTTTAATTACCCTTTAAAAACTGGAATTAACATATTTCGAAGCGTTTTCAAAAAATTAATAGAATTAGAGCAAATTCAAAATTTTCAATATTTTAATCAATTTTTAGACCCTACTTTAAATCCAAACGTGGAAGAAAGGGAAATTTGCGACTAGTTGAGGAAGCTAAGGAGGGTCTGTTTAACTCTACTTTACTCCTTGTAAATTAGGGCTTAAATTTCGCCTCGGGTTCGGGGCCCCCTACAGGGGCGCACATTGCAGATTCATGAGGATGAATTCACGGGAGCACTATGAGGGCCCCCGCTCTTTGCCCTCACGTTTGCTTTGCTCAAAAAAATTTTCTAAGTCAAATTTTTTTTTTTAAGTTTAGTTAAGAATGCAATAAATAACATTTTAAATTACTTGAAATGAACATTAATTGACTTTTTCAAGCGAACTGAACGGACGTGTTTGTAAATAGCTCCGTGATTTCAGTTTCTTATAACAGATAAGCGTTGAAATTGAGGTTTCTTCTTTAGAAAAGTGCAAAATTCGTAATATAATTATGACCACGAACGATGAGTTAAAAACTTTGTTACTTAATATCCAGAGCGACTTAAATAAAAAAATGGACTCAATGGAAAAAGATCTCAAGGAACTACGAATGGAAAATTCCAAAATCGCGAGTGACCTTCAGAGTCAAAATTTAAAATATCGCGAGTTAAGAGTGAAAAACAAAATTCTTGAAAAAAAAGTGGAAGCTTGCGAGGATAAAATCGATTTTTTTTTAAATAAAGAAAGATCGAAGAATCTTGTGTTATTTAAAGTGAACGATAATCAAACCGAGAATACCAATCTGCTGGAAACGGTAAAATCAATCTTCCAAAAAGCCAAGGTGGACATCCAGAACGACGAAATAGTTGGCGTAAGAAGATTGGGGAAGCTAGAAGGTTCAAGGCCGATTCTCGTTTCATTCAGTGATGATAATGTCAAAGGAAAAAATTTTCAAAAAGCAAAAAATTTCAGAGAGCTGAACATAAATTTTGCAAATGACATGACAAGAGAACGCCGAGAGAAAAAAAAGTGCTGTACCTCCAACTTCGAGATGCCAAAACTCTACTGGAACAACAAGGAAAAGAAGCTATTATTAAAGGCTCTTTTATATTAATGGATAACAAAAAATTCGATCTGTTGTCAATCCAAAAATTTCTGTTTCCGGAACAAAAAGAGTTTGGAGAGAAGGAAAGTTGTTACAATGGAGATAGTGAGGATTCTCTATATGCCTCAATAACGTCAAGAAAGAGAGGAAGGAAACCAGGATCCATGTCATCCCAAGACAAAAAAGCCCGTAAAAATATAATACCCAAAACGCTGAGTCAGACAAATACACAGAAAGCATATTTGCAGCCTTCTGTTTCGGGAAAAGATAAGGAACCAATGGAGACATAGCATGGACAGGAGCCAGTGCAACGCAACCTTCTTTTCTGGAACGTTAAGGGTCTTAAAAATGTGGAAGATATCATCCCAACTCTCGGTACAAATGACATTATATGCTTAAGTGAAACGTGGGCAATGAACGATCCATCTTGCGGAATTACAAAATATCTGAGTGGATTCGAGGTAGTGTATAGCCCGGCTACGAAGGAAGCAAGAAGAGGAAGAGCGAAGGCCTTCTTCTTGTGGCCTTCAATAAAAGTAAATATAAAATAAAGACTTTAAATGTCACCGAGGATTGTATATTTCTTAAATTAGTAAGTAGTGATTTTATTTTCATTATCAGTCTTGTTTACATTTCTCCGAGCAAGGACATAGACACTTTCTTAATTAAATTCGATGAGATAATTACAGACCTGATAATTAAATATCCATATATACCGATCTATATTGGCGGAGATTTTAATTCAAGAATCGCAAATCTAAATCAATTATCGACGGATATATTACCCGAAAATTTGTTAATTAATAATAAAAGATTAAACAATGATTTTAAACTGGATAGTAGGGGGGGGGAACTCGTTTCAATTATGGAATCCAATGGCTTTGTAGTTTTGAATGGGAGAACGACGAGTGACTACCCTTCGAAATTTACGTTTTTTTAGCGAAAGAGGAAAATCGACGATTGATTTAGTATGGTCCAATTTTATAGGTTTGCATTCAATAATCGACCTTTAAGTAAAATGTATCAACACGAACTCTGACCACTTTCTGGTTAAACTCGAATTATTAGCAGAAGTAGATAGGAATGAAAAAAATATGGAAGTATCACTATATAAGTGGAAAGAGGAATTTAAGAATGAATTTAAATTGTGTATGAGTGAGTCACTGCGAGACTCCGAGGATTCAACAGATATCAATATTATGTCAAACAATCTAATAAAAAAAATTAGCAAAACTGCGGAAAATATAGGGTTTAAAATAAATACTCATTTTAAGAAAAAAATTTCTAAGCCATGGTTTGATAATGATTGCGTACAATGTAAACAAAAATTTAAAAGTATTATTAACTAAATGTAAAAAGAATAATTTTGACTCGGCAGAACTGGTAGCAGATTATATCAAAAAAAGAAAAGAATATAAAAACTTACAAAGAGTTAAAAAAGAGGACTATAAAAACGCAATCTTGGGTCAACTAAAAATAGCAAGGGATTCTTCCTCCTTTTGGAAAATAATTAATATGGTGGTCGAAATTTATAAATGTTATTATGTTATTATCAGCGACCCCAAAAACCCCTAGACACCAAGTTTTATAAAAAATAATTAATATTTATAAATTTCAACCGCCATATTGGATCCGCCATTTTGAATTTTCAAAATCTGACATCATATTCGTTATTAGCGACCCCAAAAACCTTCAAGTAACAAGTTTCAAGTGAATTCGATGAACTTTTATAAATTTCGACCGCCATATTGAATCCGCCATTTTGAATTTTGAAAATCTGACATCATATTCGTAATCAGCGACCCCAAAAACCCCTAGACACTAAGTTTTATAAAAAATAATTAATATTTATAAATTTCGACCGTCATATTGGATCCGCCATTTTGAATTTTGAAAATCTGACATCAGATTCGTAATCAGCGACCCGGAAAACCCCGATATACCAGGTTTCATAAAAAATTATTTATTTGTACAAGATTTCCTATCACCTTTCAATTAAGGGTTGTTTTTACCCCTAAAAGCAAAAAATGACCTGATCTAGCAAAACGACCAGACACGGGTATCTTTTTTTTGTTCCTAGTTTCTGAAAATCATTGATTATTTCGTGTGTGAAAAATCGTGTCGGACGGTGTAACAGTCGCTTTTTTAGAAATTTTAGATACTTCAAACAAAGAAAAACTCATAAACTTATACTCATATATTAATAAGATCATGCAAAAAGAATTTTTTCATAATTAAAATTGTATAATAAAGGTAATGCGGCAACTTCTTTGTATTGGCTTGAGCCATAAAACAAATAAACGAATAATTGACTTTTTAAACAACGAAATACTACTACAGTCAATCCTCCACAATGACGGAGCCTTCAAAATGACGGTTCGATTTAGTTTGAATCTCCTCCGCAATGATGGATAGCGTAATGGCGCACTCACACCTTTTTTGGCTGCCTGCCTGCCTGCAGGTTACCATGGCAACGCACGAGTGTGAGTGAGATAGAAAATTTGAATATTCAAATTTTTAAATTTTCTGTCGCACTCACTCTCATGCGTTGCCATGGTAACCTGCAGGCAGCCAAAAAGGTGTGAGAGCGCCTTTACATGATTTAAGTAAATTTCAGTACCGTATTCATTGGGAGTTAAGAAATGAAAAATAATAAAAGATGATTATATATTCCCTACAGCACCGAAACTTTTCTAAAGATTTCCTAAAGATTTATTTGAAATGCTCGGAATATTTTATTGCAATTTTGAGTGAAAATTGTGTAAAAATTTAAATGTTCCACTGGAATAAATGTTCAGGAAAGTTTCACAAAGTTTCACACTAATTATCAATATTTTAATTATAATAATAAATTATTTTATTAATTATTATAATAATTAATATAATTATCCCCCAGTGTGTTACAAACAAAATATGTACAGATACAGCCCTGGAAAAGTAGTGGGGGGTATGACGTATGTACCCGTCAAAGTAAAGGATGAGAGAAGGGGAAATTTTAGGCAGATCCGTCATTGTGGAGGATTGACTGTACTACTTGTCTACTTAAATATGGCAAATTAAGGTTATGTCAGTCTTGCTTTCTATTGTGCGCGCGCAGAAGTAAAACAATATCCGTATGATCAAAACCAAGGTATTGGGATGTCCCTCATTATACAATTTGAAAACGGATTAGCCATTATTGTATCAGTAATTAAAAAAAATTTATTTAATATTTATTAAAATTTTTATTAAATAAATTAAATAAATAAATAATTTATTAAATAAATCTGCTTTTAAAAGTAAAATTTTTTTCAATTTTTTTTAAAAATTGTACCCAAAAGCTTTAGGATAAAAAATATAAATACACTTTATTTTCAGTTTTTGTTTGTTTGTTTGGAATACAATTTCAAATAAACAATATTATTATTTTTTTTTTTATTATTAAAAAGCGATGAAATTATTGTGACTGTTGATAACATTAACTACGTACATAAGTAAATATCGTAAAAGAGAAAAAATTTTACGCAATAAATGTTACATTTAACAGCATAATTTTTTTTTGCACTATATATATATATTATATATATTATTATAATAATAGTATATTTACAATACTTTATACAAACTCACGTATTTTTTCAGAATTCAAAAAAGTCGTTTATTTTCTATTTACCCATCACCAAAATGATGTATATATATATATACTTGTGTGTAAAAGCTCTAATTTATCGCACCGTTGAAATTGAAAAGAAAATAATATTTGCGAGACAGGTAATTTGAAAAGAAACATATAAAACGAAAATTCTGAATACGTACATTTGTAAAAACGTTCTTTTACATCACATTTCTTTATTTTTTGTAAATTTAAACAAACTGCATACATATAATTTTAATGAAAAAAATTTTTCATTAAAGTATAATATGGAAAAAAAAGTTTTTTTTTTTTGCCTATATCAAAGACAAAATAAATATTATATTAATCAAAACTTTCAAAACTTGGGGAAAAATAAAATATTTTTCATGATTATTATTCTTTTTTAACATTTTGAATTTTTTTGTTACAACAAGAATAAAAATCATTAATTTAAAACAATGAATAATTTTAATTAAAATTATTTTTTTTTTTTTATCAAAGAAATACTTATTAGAAAAAAATGAAAAAAATATATTATCTCTATTTTTAGTTTTCATAGATCTACAAATAAAATCTCCTGCATATAACTTTTGGTCTTTCTTCGTATTATATATTAACAGAAAAAAAAAAAAAAAAATTATTTACATTTCCGTGAATCACAGGTTACATATATATAACTATTTTCGAGTTCTGTCACCCTTTCAATTCTCATTAATTATATATTTTCAAATATCACACAATTTTTGTTTTTTGAAATAATCAAAATTTAATATTATTATTATTATCATAATAAAACAATTTAGTTTTTTTTGCAAAATATTGACTGCAGCAAATCAACTGATTTATCAGTTTTTATGAACTTCTTTTATTTTTACTCACAATTTTATCGATTTCTATTTTTTTAAAATATACAGTAATTGTCAAAATTACCACAAGAAATAATAAATGGAAAAATAAAATTATCGATATAAATAAAAAGCCAATTATTATTTTTTCTTTGATGATAGCTTGAAAGAAATTATTATCATCTTTCGACTCGATTAAAACTAATCGAGATATTAACAATTTTTAATTTTTATATTGTGATATTTTTTTTACTATAAAAAATCTTCATTAATGAATTAATCTTTTCTTTTTGTAAAATTTAAAAATTTAAAAAGACTATACCACATTATGATTTCTTTCACTTTGACCTGGCCTTATTGCTGTTGTTGGTAATTCTTCAATTTCCACTTGTGCTGAATTTAATGATGCACTATTTTGAGGGGTTGTAGAATTTTTTGTTAAAACATTAACGGTTAATGATGGTTCCTCTTCGGTGTAAACATTCACAGTATGTGGCTTTGTACTGCTGACAGAGCGCTCGAGATCTGGCACTTCGCCTAAATGAAAGAAATGAACACAAAAATTATCAATAAACACAAAAAAAAAAGAATACAAAGTGTCTAGCGAATCAGGAATTTGGAAAAACCCCGGGAATTTTTTCTTCATGAAATATTTTTTTATGATAAAGCAAAAATTTTATATTTATTTTTCATCGAAACTTAATATGAAACTTTAAAATAGTATTAAAATGAAACATATTCATTTTATTTCATAAGTTCTTAGCCCCCATTAACATAAACTCAATAACTAAAAACTTATTTTTAACAGCAAATAAAATTATTTATAAATTTATTTTTATTAAGTTTTGAAAAATTCAGTCCAACAATTTTCAATATAAATTATTTTGCGCAAAACTTTGTTATCAAATAATAATTATTTCACCTTTTATATTATTTTGTTTAAAGTTTGTAAATAATTTTAATTTTTATTTAATTTCCATAAACAATAGTTTATTTTGCTCTTTGAAAAATTTTCTACATTCGTTGAATACATATTTTATTAACAATATTTTGTGGAAATAGGTAATATAGTTCAATAATTTTTTCAATTCAATAATTATTCAATAATTCAAAAGTTAATAAACAAATAAAAATTGTACTTTTAATATTTTTTAAATAAACCATTACTAAACAAAAAAAAACACAACATCAGAATTGTAGAGAATCTTTTAAAGAGAAAAGGGAGCTATTGTCAATAAAAATGAAAAATAAAAATTACGATTGTTACATAACTTTGAAGAAAAAACGCAAAAAAATGTTAAATAATTATTCTTTGGCAAAAAATTTTGACTCAAAATCCTTTTTTTTAAATTGTACAACTAAACCTTCCAAATTTTGGTTTAATAAATTTTAAAAAGACAGTTAAAAAGAATTTAAATCTGATTTTGAGATACAAAATTAATAATTTTATTTCGAATTTCAAGATCAAATTTTATTTCTTTTATTTTCATTTTTTATTTCAAATTATAAATTAAATTTTTTTTTCAAAGACAAAAATTAAGTAGTAAGTAGTAAGCAATTTTAAACAAATATTTTACTTTTTTATAAGTTTTTGAGGTAATTTAAAAAATAGTAAACAATAAAAATTTTATTAAATAATAAATTGTAATATTTTGTTGATATCAGTTTTTATAGCTTTTTTGATGCCCTTACGATTGGTGAAATGCATTCTTTTTTAAATTGTTAACCAAAGAAAAAAAGAAAATCAAAAATAAATTTTACTTTTTTTTTAAGTGAAAAATAATTTTTTCTCATTTTTATAATGTATTTTTAAGTCTCTTACCATTGATACTGTGACTGTCAGAAACAGTGAACATTGTACCGGATGATTCTGCATTGTGAACACTCATAAAATCGTCCGAATCCGAACTTAATAATGCTGAATTTTCCGAATCAGAGCAACTATTTGAATCATTTTGTCTTTCTTGTTGTGATCTTCTTCCTCCTCTTGAGAAGGGATTTTCACTTTGAGAAGCAAGAGCTCTTGAAAAGGGATTTTCTCTTTGAGCAGCAAAAGTTCCACCTTGTGTACCTATTGAAAAATAATGTATAATAATTTGTTTTAATTTTTTCTTTTTTATTGTATAATTTTACAAAATTACTTGCATTTTAGTTTTTAAATTCAATAAAAAAATAAAAAGTGTCACGTGCCTCGAAAGGGCATAAAATGAAAAAGAAGGTGTAATTTAAATATTAAAAAAAACTGAATTTTTTCGTTTTTTTTTTTTTGGAATAAAGTTATTAGTGTTTAAAATCATGGAAAATTCTTATATGGTGAATTTTTTCATGTTTCTTATAAAATAAAAATAAAAAGTTAGCATCTCATACGAAAGTACATTAAAAATACTTGATGTTGATATTAATTAATATTTAATGAAAAAAACTAACTTTTTAGAAAAATATAATTAATATCTGTTAAATTTTTTAAATTTACAGGCAAGTTTAAAAATTAATATTCAACTAATTTTTTGGTCTTTTTTATACAATAATCAATTAATATAATAATAATAATAGTAATAATTATTTTGTAAAAAAAAATTTTTTTGTATTGAAAAGTACATAAAAAATCCTTTAAAAACCCCCACTTTAAAAATTAAAATTTATTAATTTGTTTTAAAGATACTTTTATAATTTTTTTTTTTTTTTATAAATAAATTAATATTTTAGGAATTTTTTTGCTTTCAAATAAGACAATTGAGCAAAGTAACAAGGCAATAAAACTAATTTTTGACTGAGACAATATATTGAAAATTGAAAGTTTTCCAGGTTTTTGAAGGAAAATTCCCTAATTTTTTTTCACGATTTCCAGCTTTTCATATAGCGTGGCAACATTAAAATTTATTTTTCTCTATAGTAAAAATACCTGAATGCCCATTTCGAATTAAGGGCGTTGAATCGTCCGCCTCTGAATCACTTTCACTGTCGGTTATCACTCTTTCATCGGCTGCAAAAACTTTACGTTTACAAACTGGACAAACTCGTCGATTTTTTGTCAGCCAGGGATCAATACATTTCGAATGATAAGCTACAAGAAATATTTTTATTATTTTCTTATAATCGTAAATTTTCTATATTAATATTTTTGTATTTTTTGTTTATTAATATTATTTTCTAAAATACTATATTTATTTATAGGAAAGAAAAAATAAATTTACCATGCGCACAAGGTAAGACGCGTAATTTTTCACCCTCAACATAATCATCTAAACAAATCGCACATGTTTCATAAGGATCGCCCTTTGTATACTTATGTGTGGGAATTTTTTTTAAACTAGAATTTGGCAGACGATGCCTCCTTTGTCTTCGTCTATCTTTTATACAATTAACGATCTGAAAATTAAAAGTTATCAAAAAAAAAAATACTATACAAAATAAAATTTTATAACAGGAATCACAGTATCTTTTTCATCCCCTTAAAATAGAGCAAAAGTAAAAAAAAATTTTTTTATTTTTTTTCATATTTCAAATTTATATTAATTAATTAAAATAAATTGATTAAAATTTAGATAATTTAAATTTTGTTTGATTAAATTTATGATCGATTATAAAATTCCAATAAAATTTAGATCGTTTAAAAATAATTTTAATTAATTTAAATAAATTGAAATTTAATTAAACTGAAATTTCCGATTAATTAAAATTATAATGAAGTAAAATTAATATATCAGTTAAAATTATTAGAAATTTAAATGAATAAAATTTTAAATCGATTGACATTTTCATCAATAAAAGTTTAAATCAATGAAAATTAAAATTGAATTTTAATTTGAATTGTTACTTAAAATTTTCATTGATTAAAAATTCATAGATTGAAATTTCGATCCATTGATTTTAATTTAATTTTTAATAAAATAAAAAACAATTAATATTTTGACCAATTAACAAAAGTGATAAAAATAAATTAAAAACTTTTCAATCGATTAAATTTTTGTCAGTTTGTACTTGAGATTAAAAAAACAAATGAATTTTCATTTAATTAAATAAAACATTTTTGTTTTCAAATTAAAGAAAATTCAATTAAAGAAAAAATAAAACAAATTTAATCGTGAAAAAAAAAATCTTACCATAAATATGACCATGATAAGAAAACATAGACCAACGACGATAGCGAATGGCAATAATAAATGTGTATTGATATTAAAAGGTAAATCATCATTTATCAATACAAAATAAAGATGATTGTAAAGATAATTTCCTTTGAGTATCAGTCCTGTAAGTTCGCTAACAAACACTGACGGAATTTCAATTCCCACGGAATCTTTCGCTGACATTGGTTCTGTAATATATATATATTTTTTTGTCAATTTTTAATTATCATTATTATTTTAATTAATAAAAAAAAATGACACATAAAAAATTAAATAATATTTACCTAGTTCCTCGCTATTCACATTATGTACAATTACGGCATCATAACCAGCTGTTTGAGCCATTCTAACTTTTATTTCAAAACTACAATTAAAACGTGCTGTTAAAAGTATCCATTTTCCATCGTAACCTGTTATATTTGGTGGTTCTTTTACATTTGAGCACGCAAATGGAGGATCTGCATAAACAATCATGCCCTGTTGTCGAAAAAAAAATATATTTTTAAGTAAATTAAATAAATAAAGGTCATTGTGCATCAAATTACTAACATTATTAATTTTTTTTATAAATCAAATAAATATTAATTATTTTTTTACGCTAATAAATTTTGTTTATTTTTTAATTTTCTTTTTTTTTATAAATAAAAAATGTATTAAATGGAAATCTAATAATTTAAAGTTAGAAAAACCTTATAAATCAAACCAATTAATGCGCAAAATAACTAATTTGTATTAAAAAAAAATTTTCAACAATGATTAAAGTGTTATTAGAGTTTAAGATTTGGGCAAATTGATTTTTGGACAATTTGAAACTTAAATTAAAATTTAGATAAATTTTATTTTAGATACATTTTAAAATAAAATCAATTAAAATTTAAATAAATTAAAATTCAAAAAACTTAAAACTCAATTTGAAAAAATTAAAATTCGGATAATTTGAAGAACAATTCAATTTAAATTTGAATAATTTAAAACTTTAGTCAATTGTAATTTTAACAAATTAAAATTCGAATAATAATTTGAAACTTAAATCAATTAAAATTTGGATAATTTCAATTCAATAATCAAAATTCAGATAATTTGAATTTTTTTTAGATGAATTTTTATTTTTCGAATTAGCCTTTAATAAAATTTCTTTTTTAACGAATTTTTACTCAACAAAATTTTTATTGTACCGAACTTTTATTTCTGCAGAATTTTTATTTCACAAATTTTTTTTTTACCAAACTTTTTATTTCAAAGAATACTAGTTTAACCGAATTTTAATTTAGCATAATTCTCATTCAACAGAATTTTAAGTGATACGAATTTTTGAATGTAAAAATTTCTAATTAACCGAATTTTCTGTAATTTTGTAAAGTAATTAATTAAATTAAAATTTAGACAAATTGAAATTTACATAATTTGAAATTAAAATCAATAAAATTTTTTGACAAATTGAAATTTGGATAATTTAAAATTTTAATAATTTGAAACTTAAATCGATTAATTTTTAGACAAATTGAACTTTTATTAATTTTAATTTTCAATCGATTAAATTTGCATTTGAGGAAAAATTTTGATTAACAAAAATTGTTTTGACCATTTAAAAAATTAGAAGTATTTGAAAATTTGGATCACTTGAAATTTTAATCGATTAAAATTTCAATTAATTAAAATTTTATTTGATTCAAATTCGAATAAACTGAATTTTTGATTAATTGAATTAAAATAAATTTAAATATAGATCAATTACAATTTTAACCAAAAAATACTTCAACGAATTTAAATTTAGATTCATTGTTTGACATAAATAATTTTTTAAAACCATGAATAATTTTTATAAATTCAAATTTAGGTCAATTAAATCAATTATAGAAAATATGAAAATATGTAATTTTGTGTGAGGAAAATTTTAAATAGATGAAGTTTATGATCAACTATTAAAAATAAAAAAATACTTTTCATGCGGAAAATGATAAAAAAAAAATTTTTACCTACAAATGTTTCTTTTAAAAATTTTGTTGATCTAGAAACGTTAAAAAATTTTTTACTGACAAAAAATTATAATAATTTTAATAGGAAAATATTTCTTCTTCTGAATCGTTAATCCAGGCCTTGGATCGACTTTATGGCACACAAAAAAAGTTGTTTTAGTCGATTTACATTTCAAAAAAAGTCGATTTTTTTATTTCAACCAAATTTAATTGATTGATGAATATTTTACTTTAAATAACTAATGTTATTAGATATTAAATTCATTTTATTAATTCTGTAATGAAAATAATTCTATAATGAATATTACACGGGAAAAAGAGAAACGTTGGATTAATACCGTTTTCCGATTGGTTCAACGTCAGTGGGCCCTGTCACGATTTCGGCATTGATTCAACAGACTTTTACTGTTGAACCTACTGTCCATCTATTGTTACAAGTAAGTTGATCCAACAGACACTGCCTACAGCGCTCCTTGCCGTTGAACCAATCGGAAAACGGTATTAATCCAACGTTTTTCTTTTTCCCGTGTATCAAGAAAATTTATTTAGAAAAAACAAATTTCTAAAGAAAAAAAAAATGTTTAAAGTTCCATTTTTATAATTTTTTGAAGTCTGATTTAAGAAATTTATTCTAATTTGGAAGAGTTAAAGTTGAAATTTTTTTTAGAAATAATTGAATTTTAAAAGATTTTGTTAATTTTCATAAAATAATTAAATTTTACAGAACTAAAAATAATTTATCAAATAATTTTAGATAACATTTTTTTTAAAAGTAATTTAATTTTTTAAAATTACGAAGCTGAAGTACGCAACGTTTATATAAACAATTTTTAAAGAAATAATTTTTTAAAATGAAAAATTCTATAATTTTTTGTCTAAAAAATATTTTTTTATAATTTGTTGATTAATGAAAACTACAAGAAATATTGTTTAGGCAAAAAATTATAGAATTTTTCATTTTAAAAAATTATTTCTTTAAAAATCGTTTATATAAACGTTGCGTACTTCAGCTACGTTTAAGATTTACAATTAAAATTTTTGAAATTAATTGAACTTTAAGTGATTTTTAATTTAAAATTTTTTGATGATTTCACTAAAAAAAATTATTAGAAATTGCAGACAAAAATATAATAATTTGAAAATAAGAACCAAGAATTTTTGGTTAAAAATTTGTTAAATAATTGAAATAATAAAGATCTGAAGAAAATCTGCATTGTATATTCTAAAAAAAACGTATTTTGTTTAAATTTTTTTTTTAAATGTTAAAAAAAGTAGAAAAAGTCTCATTTTATTAAAATAAGTCGAAAAAAACTCGGAAAAAGTCGTATAATCCAAGGCCTGTTGATCATAAACGTTGTGAACTTTACCAAAAAGTAAAAAATTGTTATTTCCCCAAATTTACCTGACAAAAAAAAAAAAAAAATAAAAATATTTTCTCAATTATAGTGAAAATAGATGTTTTTAAATTTACTTTGACTCCTTCAGGTGGAATTTGTCCACCAAATCGTGCTGGCATATCTCTGAATTCTTCTTCGATTTGATGACGATCTGCACTTGAGAAAACTAAAATATCGCCCTCCACATTGCTGAAGAGAAGTATTGTTAAAAATATCAGCCATAATTGAGTTCTGTGACTTAGACAACACTGAGGCATTTTTAATTTAATTTTTTTTTTGTTTTGTATTTAATTTCAATTGAAATTCTCCTTACTCCTAGTTTAATGAATTTACTAGGAGTTTTCTATTTTGTATCATAATACATAATCCACAAGTTCACTGATCAATTAGAATTTATTTATATACTCTGATACTGATCTGAAAAAGAGAAAAATATTTGTCTTAATAATTAAAAAATTTCTCGAATTTTAAAATAGTAAAATTATTTTTTAAAATAAAATTTTTTTTTTAGAAATAGTTCTAAATTTTAGTTTTTAAATGTTTAAAAAAAAATCATTATTCATTGTGCAAAAAAAAAAAAAAACTAAAAAATATTTCCTGAAATGAATAATTTTTTTTTAAATTAAATTCTGAATTAAAAAAAAAATTTTACATTGCTTTAAATAAGCAATTTATATGTATAAGTATAGTTATCTCAAAATGCTAATTGCATCCATCAATTCTCTTTTATCCGGTTTACATTAGTCGCATGTCTTTGTTTAAGAGCCACCGACCTTGGATGAACACACTCGACAACTTAGTTGATAAGTAATTTATAATAATCGATGAGATAAAGTCTAATAAAAATTTAGAACACTTTCCGAAACTAGTGTCACAATTTTTTATGACACTCTATAGTTTTCGTAATTTTGCTTTTTTTTTTTTTGTTCATTAAACAGACTTAAAAGTGATGATGTTTATAAGTTTGTCATGATAACATAAAATGAAAATTGCAAATATAATTACATATGTTGGGTAATATTTTTCTTTTTTTTTTAATAAATTCATTATCTTTAGGCGAATAAAAAAAGTTCTCTTAAATGTTAAAATTAAATTGTTCCAATTTACAAAGTTTACTAATTAAAGTGTAGGAAATTATTTTTCATTATGACGTGAATTTAGAAAAAAAGGAGTGACAATAAAATTTTGACATATAATTAATGCAAACATTTTAGAAATTGGAAAAAAACAAAAATATTCACAATTTTATGATACTGAGAATAAATAAAGTATAAACAAAGTTGAATTACTTATTACTTATCAGCATTATTTTGCTTGTGCTTATCATTGCAGTAATGATTGAACCCAACTAGTTTTCAAACATCACTTGTAAGTGCGTATCCTTCTAGAAAAATAAGTCAATCGACATTGACACTTAATGACAATTAAAAAAAACACCTGTCAGCACAGCTTTAGTTTATAAAATTGTCAATTAGGGTCATAAATTGCCATTGGGGAAGTATTATAAAAATAAATATTTAATAAATATATCTATATGTCACCTTATCAGTACTCCAAGAGAAACATAGGTCAGCGAATAAAAATCTTGTTTTCTGTGTAATTCACATACACGAATATGTTTAGTCACTCTTAATATACGTAACACTATCAAAAAAAACTACGTATTTAAACACTTTGTTTTAATTGATTGTAAAAAAAGATTAAAATAATTGTTATAATTGCCTATTATACTATTATATATATATCCGACACAATCCTTTTTTTTTCTTTTATTTATAGGTTATGACAATCGAATCAAATAAGTGTTGGGAGGAAATTTAAAAGCAAATATAAATCATTGACTTTTACTTTATGAACATTAATCAGGGAGTATTATTACAAAAATATACTTATATATGAAGAGAAAACATAAACTGATAATATATTGTAAATAGCACCAACTCTTGTCGATTGAACGCAATTAACTGTCATCACTGCTCTCCATTTTGATATATACGAGAGAATAATTTAAATGTCAACGAATCGCACTTTTTCTAAATGTTTAAACATTGATTATTATAAATTTTCAATTTATTTTCTTACTTTATATATCTATTATTAAGAATTATTTAAAAAATTTATCAACAAAAATACTAACAAATTTTGTCTTTCACTTTTTTGATGAGCAAACTAGAGAAACGTCAGTTTAGATTCGACCGCTAGGGGCGCAACAAGCAAAGCGCCAAATTTGAAAGTAACAATTTTAATATATTTTTAAAATAATAATAATAATATTATTGTTTATAGAAACAATTGCCATGTAACCGCATTAGCAAAATCATTTATTCTTATTTTAATCAATTTTTTAATTATTACAAATATACTTTTATTTTTCAAAATTGAAAGTTATATAATTTTAATTTATTAGAAAATATATTTTTGTTAATAATTTTAATTAAATCGAATTTGAATTTTGAAATATTTATAATTTTACGGAAAATTCATTTTTCTAAAATTTAAAACAGCAAAATTTATAAATAATAAATAAATATAAAATATTATTTAAAAAAAAATTTTTTTTTCTAGATATTTATTTTATTTATTGCAATTTTAATTATATATCGAATTGTTTTTGTATAACTTTCTATTTTACCAACTTGCGATATATTCGAATTTTTTATTTCAACCAACAAAAAATTGAACATCCTTAAATCAATAGAAATTATTCGGTATATTTTATTTATTTTTTTTTTAAAATTATTTTTTTCATTTCTAAAATTAAATTAATTACAACTATATAATTAAATTAACTACAACATTAATAAATTAATTGCAGTTTTTTAAATTTTAGTTGAGATGTATTTTTTTGTTCTAAAAATATAATTTTATAATTTCTTTAAGTTTTTTTCAATTTTAAGAATAAAAGTTTATATTTTTCTTTCTTCAATTAAAAAGATAGATCATTCTCTCAATTTCGTTGTGAATGAATAATAAACAAATTTTATTTTAAACATAAATAACAGAATTATAAACTGAATATAAGGAAAGTTATATTATTTTTTTCAAATTGCAAAAAAAATTAAATACGTATTTTTTTTTTGTTGTAATTTATCGTTTTATGTCGAAAATAATTTTAAAATTTCAATTGTTTTCTAAATTAAATTATTTTATAAATTCAATAATTTTTATTGCTCGGTTTTTTTGAAATAAATCTTTCTTATGTAAAAAATTAAAAAAAGTAGAGAATTAAAGTTAAAATTTAAAGAAGTAATTAAAATAATTAAACTTTTGCAACCAATTATAATTAAAATTTCTTTTTAATTTTTAATTAAATTTAATTTTTATTAACTTTTTTCCAATTTTTTTTTTAACTGAATAAATAATAAATTCTAAATTTCATTATAAGGATTTAAAACTAAATAATCATTTTGAATAAAAATTTCAATTTATTTACTAATAATATATAATATTACACAATTATAAGGTATATATATATATATAAGATGCAACACTTTTTCAAATGAACAATATTTAATTGTTTTCACAAAATATAAAAAAGATCCACACTTAAACAAAAAGTAAAATAAATTGTGAATCTAAAAAAAGAGATACGGGTAAATTTCAAAACCTATTAATTATAATTATATCGCTTCCTAATTTTAATTTTTTTTTTTTTTTTTTTTTTAATTCTAAAAATTGTACTAATTCTTATAAGTGTATAATTCTCAAATATTTAGAGAATTAAATTTAAATTTATTTACAAAAAAAATGAATTACTTAAATTTCAATTAATTACATTCGAAGAATTTTATTAATTTTGTATTAAATTATTAATTATAATATAAATATAGTAAAATAGTTTACTAGTAATTTTTTCGTACTACATGTGTATGTAGATCGTAAAGAATGAATTTTTCCTTTTTTTTTAACATTAACTTAGAAAATCGCTTCGTAAATAGTGAAATTTTTGGGATGCAAATATTCTTTATGAATTGTGTACAAAAAATTACATATATATTATTTATGTACTGTACATTAATCGGCAATATTGGTTTTTGAATTTAAAAGAATCTTTTCTTCTAATTGTGATTTTTCAAGAGGGTTTCAGTCTCACGTTATTCGTAGAAAAAAAAAAGAATTGAATTTCTTTCAAAACTAACAAACATCGTTAATTATAAAAAAATAATATCAAAAGTCGAATTTAAATATAAAATAAATTTTTTTTGCAAATATATATTTGCTTTATTCGATACAAAATCCTAAATACCATTCAATATGTTACAGAAAAAAAATTTTAATAACAGTAAGACTTTCTCAAGAAAAAATCAAAGTTTTGTTTTATACATTAAATTATTTTACAGTTTCTCTCTGATTTAACAAAATTTAATTTTTGAATTTTCCTTTTTTGTCCAATTCACTATTTTTTTTCTCACTTTCTCTCTATCTCTTTCTTTGTACTCGTCAAAAATTCTAAATTGTCTCATTTTGTAATTTTTAAATTAAATTGCTATTTTTCAAAAATTAAAGTCTTACATTTTTCCTCGAGTGAATCTGTCGTCAAGCAATTGGGCCTTCATAAAAATATGTTTCTTTTGAGCTTCATCAAATCTATTGGATTCTAAATCAACATCACGATCGAATGGTCGTCTTGTAGATTTATTTTTTTCCCTAGCCTCTTTTTCTTCTTTCTAAAAAAAAAAAAAAATGAAGAAAAATTATACAATTTACATGTAAAATATAATATGTAATAATTTAATAGTAATTAATTAACTAAAAATGAACTGTAATAATTAATAGTCTAAGAAAAATAATTTTACCTTCTTTTTCTTTTTCAATTTCTTTTGATGTATTTCCAATAATGATTTATGTCGTTTCTTTGACTTTTCAGAAGACTCTTCTTTTACAAAGAATTCTTTAATTGGTTCCTGTTCAGTAGCTAAGGCTGCTAATTGTTCCTCAGCCTAAAAAAAACGTGTATATTTTTTAAATAAAGTATTAAAAAAAAAATTTAATGAAAAAAAATGTTTTTATAGAACTTGAATTAACAAATTTATTAATTGAAATTCAAAATCTTACTAACCTTTTCCTGTTTTTTTCGCATTTTATCTGCCGGTGTATCGCTCCAAGAGGATCTATCAGATAAATCTGGACCATCTCGGGTTTTGAATTTTCGAGGACCCAGTCCCAATGATACAGCTTGAACTGGAGGTAACTCTGTCATCCATTCTTCTCTTTTTTTTTCTTTATTCGTCCGCTGAGATGATTAAAAAAAATTTATTAATGAATGTCAATCAAGGCAAATAAAAATAATAATTTAAAAAAAAAACAATTTTTTTAAATTTAAATCTGATTTTTTTTTATTTAAAACATTTTTATTTACGTAAAATTTATCAAAAGTTTATATTTAAGTAGTTTTTTTTTTTTTGGTAAAGAGATAAATTCAATTCATGTTTTGAAAAATTTTTTTGATTTTTGAAAAAGTCAATAATTTTGTAATATTATACATTAAAATGTTTAAATTAATAGAACTTTTTTTTTTTTTTAGAAAATATTAGAACTGATATAAAAATTTTCAACTAAAATTAACCAAAAAGAAAGTTTTTTTAAAAAAAATATTTTGTATTTTGAAAAATTAATAACTTTGTAATAATTTCTGAAAACTTTTTCGAATATTATTTATTGAAATTTTTGCTATTTCACACTTATTAAAAATATTGCAAAAGTCGTGCCATATTTGTACTTTTAGTCAAAATTACGTATAGAAAAGAACGGAAAAAGTAAAAATTCATTTGGCGGGAAATTTACAGAAAAAAAAAATAATTCTTTTTTGTGTTCATTTAATTGAACGAAATTTTTATTAGAAAATATTTTCAGGCTTCAAATCGACTTTAAGGCATAAAAGAAGACATTTCAGTCGATTTATATTCCAAAAAAAAGTCGAAGAAAACGATTTTTTTATTTTAACAATATTTATAATTGGTTAACAAATATTTTATTTTAAATAACTAATGTTATTATATATTAAAATTCATTTTATTAATTCTGTAATGAGAATAATTCTATAATGAATATTTTCAAGAAAATTTATTTCGAATATTTCAGAATCAAACTAATTGTAAGATAAATTTTCAAAATTTTATTTAAGTAGGACAAATTTCTAAAAGAAATTCTTAAAGTTTTTATAATTTTTTCAAGTCTGATTTAAGCAATTTATTTGAATTTAAAATTTTGTCATAGTTTTTAGTTCTGATGGTCAAATAAATTTCAGGCATAACTGAAACAAGTTTTACAGATTTTTAAATAAATTTTTTTTTTTAAATAATAATTTTGGAAGAGTTAAATGTTGAAATTTTTAGAAATAATTGAATTTCAAAAGATTTTCTTAATTTTCAGACAATAATTAAATTTTACCAAACTAAAAATAATTTATCAAATAATTTTAGATAACAATTTTTTAAAAGTAATTGAATTTTCAAAGATTTATAATTTAGATTTTTGAAATTAATTGAACTTCAAGTGATTTTTAATTAAAATTTTTTTATGATTTCACTAAAAAAATTGATTAGACTTTGCAGACAAAAATACAATAATTTGAAAACTTTTTAAGTGAAAAATGATTTCAGATAGTTGAATTTTCGAATATTATAAAAATCATTAAAAATAATTGAATTTCAGGAGAGAGTTATAATTGAAATTATTAAATTTTAAACAATTTTAGATGGTAAATTTTAAAAATAATTAAATTTTACAAGTTTTTAAATTGAAAGTTTTGAAAATAATTGAATTTCAAAAGATTGTGTTAAATTTCAAACAATAATTATTATTATAATAAGAGAAATTTCTAACAATTTTTGTTGATGAAAAATTTATTAGAAATCACATAAAAAAATAGAATTCCAAAAGATTTTAATTAAAAAATTCTTTCAGATAATTGAATTTTTGAAGAATATTATAAAAATCATTAAAAATAATTGAAATTTTTGCAAATAATTAAATTTCAAGTGACTTTGAATTAAAAATTTTTGGTAATTTTATTTGCTAATTTTTTTTTAAATTATAAACAATAAATTTCATAAAAATTTTAATTGAAAAATAATTGAAGATAATTGAATTTGTGAAGAATTTCATTAAAATTATTAAAAATAATTAATATAGTGAAGTATTTTAGTTAAAAATTTGTTAAATTATTTGAAATAAAGAAGATTTGAAAAAGATCTGCATTGTATACAAAAAAAAAACGTATTTTGTTAAAATTTTTTTTTTAAGTGTTAAAAAAGTAGAAAAAGTCGCATTTTATTTATATTTATTAAATTATTATTATTTATATTTTATATTTATATTTTATTAAATAAAATTGAAAAAATTTCGAGAAAAATTATTGCTTTTATGCTTTAGCAGAAAGTTTCTATCTCTATAATATTATGTTTCAAAAATGAAAATAAATTACCTGTGTCATTAATTGGTATTGAATTCGTTGTGCTCTCAATTCAAGACTTTGTTGCACAATACTTGTTTTATGAGCCGAATGATCAGCAGGCAAAGGTCCTATAACATCATCATCATCAGATTCGGCAGACACATCGTCGGTCTTCAATTCACTAGGCAAGGTAGGACCATAAACTTTTTGTGTTTTTTCTTTTTTTGTTAAATGAGATGGTAAAACAGGTCCATAAACATCATCATCATCGTCATCATCATCACTGTCTAATTTTTTAACTAAAAGATGAGGAGGTAAAGTAGGTCCAATAGTTCTTTTTTGAGAAGACTGATCCAATAATTCTTCATTTTGATGCTTTTTACTTTTAGAAATTTTTTCCCATTTTTTTGACAAAAGATTATTATCTTGAATTGTTGATTGACTCGAAGATGGCATTATTGGTCCAATTACAATTTTTCTATTTTCATTTTCTTCATCAATATCACTAATATCTTCATTATTATCACCAGAATTTTTTTCATTTGATTTAATTATTTTTTCATTATAACTAAAATCACGTGAAATAACAGTTTCAATCGACGTCAATCGATTTGTCATTTTTTCATTGTCTTGAATTTTTTTATTTGATGATTCTAATGAATAATCTGAAAAGGCACTAGGATTATTATTACTTGAACTTGATGAATGATTACCATTTCTTGAATTTACCTTTTGCAGATCATCATTAAATTTTTTTCTCTCTATTTCATTGTCAATTAATTCCAAATTTTGTTGCTTTGTATGTCGTTTTTTTAATTTTGTTTTATTATCATTATTACTGTCATTTGAACAATCGGATGAAAATTCTTCAAGATCGGAAACAATTTCAAAATCTGATATGTTAAATTCACGACATAAATTTTGTGTTGAAATTTTTGTTTTTGATAAATTATTATCATTATCATATTTTGGCTCGTTAGAAATTTTTTGGTGTTTTTCATTTTTTCCTAAAATACGATCTTTGTCTTTTGAATGACTTTTATGTTTTTCATGATATTTTAATTTATGTCTATCACTCGATGATCTATCACTACGACTTCTATCACGTGATCTTTTTCTATTACCATCACGTGAATTTCTTGATTCTCTTTGTTGTATTTTTAAATCTTTTTCATTGGAACGTGAAATTTTTGATTCTTTCTTTATGTCACATTCATCTCTATCTTTTTGTAATGATAAATTTTTATAATCCTTATCGTCCCTTTGTTTCAAATGTTTTGAATCGTGTGCATCTTTTGAATCCTTGAGATATTTTTGAAATGAATGCCGATCACGACGATCCTTTGAATCACTATCTCTAGAGGAATGTCTTGAATCGTATCTAGAGCGAGAATCACGTCCACGATTTAGAAATTTTTCATTATCCCTTCTATTTCTCTCCGATGATGGTCCTGGAGATCTTGATTGTTGCTCTAAACGACTAGAATATGGTGAATCACGATATTTGGAAATTATTGTTGTTGCATCTTTTCTAGTAGCTTCAAATCGAAATCGACGTCCGTCATCACTGTCTTGACTTTCGGAATCCGATTCCATTGTGGTCATTATTTTTTACTTTTTTCTGAAAAAAAACATAGTAACATTATTTTTATATTTCAAGTTTATAATACGTGCAAAAAGTACGAAGCTAAAGTACGCAACGTTTATGATAAACTAATTTTTTTAAATGAAAAATTCTATAATTTTTTGCCTAAAAAATATGTTTTTATAATTTGTTGATTAATGAAAACTAAAAGAAATATTTTTTAGGCAAAAAATTATAGAATTTTTTATTTTAAAAAATTATTTCTTTAAAAATTGTTTATCATAAACGTTGCGTACTTTAGCTTCGTGAAAAAGTTAACCAACGCCATTTTGTTTTTTAAAAAATGTAATTTTTTGTGACACTTTGTGCTAATTAGTGATGCAAAAAATTTTTTTTTTTGTAATAATAATAATAATTAGTACTCAAATTTCAAAAATAAAAGAAAAAACATTTTCAAGCTCACAACTGCCATTCATATGAAATTAAACATAAAAAATTTGTCATAGCAAGAGCAAAAATAAATTCTTATAATAATTTTCAAAATCTTTAATAATAAATTTTTTGCAAACCAATTTCAAACTTAAATTTTAAAAAACGATTTTTCAACCCACAAATATTCCAAACTAAATTTTATGCTGAATGTTGCTAGTCAAACACAAAATATAACAATGAAAACATTTGAGAAAAATTCGAAATTTTTCAAAATTATTCAATTTAAAATTCAAAGAAACATTCTTTTCTCAGAAATATTCAAAAAATTATTTCTTTACGAAAATAAATTTTGTTTTAAATTGTGCTAATCGAGCACAAAAAGAAACAATTAAAATATTTACAATAAATTCAAAAAAAAACATTTTTTTCAAATTATTTTCTTTTAAAAATTATTGATTGAGAAATGTTATAAAAATTTGTTTAGAGATAAAATTATAATAATTTGCACATAAAAATATTTTTTCTACTAAATCGTTGATCATAAACGTTGTAAACTTCACCAACGTTCACGTTAAATCAATTAAATTTATTTTATTTGTATTTTTCAAAAATAAGTTTTTTTACTCAAAAATGTATTTAAAAAGTATTATTTTTCAAAATCTAATTTTTCTGTTGAATTCTGAATAAACTTGCTAAATTCAGCGTAAAATTTATTTTTGACAATAATTTTTGAATATTTCTATATAAAAAAATGTTTTTAAATTTTAAAATAGAATTATTTTCAAAAATTTTGAATTTTTCGTAAATGTTACAATTTTTACTTTTTGTACTCAGCAAACATAATTCATCACAAAATAAAAATTTTGAAAAATAATTATTATAATTTTTAAATATTTTTGTGTAAAAAAATCTATTTTTGAATTTTAAAATTAAATTATTTTCACAATATTTTAATTTTTCTTTAATGTTTTAATTGTATTTTTTTGTGTTCAAGTAGGCACATTTCAGCATAAAACTAAAAAAAAAAATTTTTTTTTAAATATTTCTTGGTTAAAAAATCTTCTTTTGAATTTAAATTTGAATTATTTATTTTGTAATATTTTATTATTAAAGATTTTAAAAAACATTCTAAGAATTTCTTTTTGTTCTGGTCTTGCAAAATTGTTTTATTTTTAATTCCACATAAGTGGCATTTGTGAGGTTGAAAAAGTGAGTATTTTTTTATTTATTTGAGTTTTAAGTAATATTTGTTCAAAAAAAAATATTTTTACTGCATAAATTAGAACAAAATTAATTAAAAATTAAAATAAAAAACAAAATGGCGTTATTAACTTCTTACAAGTATTTATAATTCGATTTCAAAAAGAAACGTTCAAACTATCTGTAAAGTTTTTTTTTTGAAGATTTAATTTTTTTTAATTAGCATATATTATTATTATTATTATTATTATTATTATTATTATTATTATTATCAATATTTAAATTATGTTATTTTTTAAAGTTTTAATATTAAGTTTTCGTGACTATGGATATGGTTCAAATGAATTGTCGGATTTTGAATTAAATAAATAAATATGAATCTTGAGAAATATCAGATTAATAATAGTGGAAAGAGTAAATAGTGAAACTGATGAAATGCTATAAGAAAGAAAAATCGATACATAATGAATATTTTATGTATCTTTCATCCTATGGTCAAATATATTATATCTATGTTCATCTTTTTGGTATTGATTTAAAACAACAAACAGCAAACTTTACAGAAGTTTCAATTTTAAAGATCTTTAGTATTTTTTTTTTTTTTTTTTACCAAAATTGATGAAAATAAAAATAAATTAAACGTGCTACCTATCACAAAACATTTCAAATAATTTTTATAATTTACGAAGCTAAAGTACGCAACGTTTATGATAAAAAATTTTTAAAGAAATAATTTTTTAAAATGAAAAATTCTATAATTTTTTGCCTAAAAAATATTTCTTGTAAATTAAATAAATTTCATTAATCAACAAATTATAAAAATATATTTTTTTGAGCAAAAAATTATAGAATTTTTCATTTTAACGAAGCTGAAGTACGCAACGTTAATGATAAACGATTTTTAGCAAATAATTTTTTAAAATGAAAAATTCTATAATTTTTTGCCTAAAAAATATTTTTTTTATAATTTGTTGATTAATGAAAACTACAAAAAATATTTTTTAGGAAAAAAATTATAGAATTTTTCATTTTAAAAAATTATATTCTTTAAAAATCGTTTATCATAAACGTTGCGTTAGCTTCGTTCATTTTAAAAAATTATTTCTCTAAAAAATCGTTTATCATAAACGTTACGTACTTCGTTATAATTTTTGTATTAAAATAAATAATGAATCAAATGAATCAAATTACTTAAGTAAATAATAAAATATTAATGTAATTATATATTAAAAAAAAAAGAAATATTTAGTGTTAGGCATCAAGTTTTAGAGAAAGCTACTAAAATAACAAACAATTACTGTTCTAAATATTTTGCAGAGTCTTTTTTCTCCACATTATTATTATTATTATCCATTTTTTTCTCCTCAATATTCTTTGTAATTGAATTTTGTAAATTTTTCACATTATTCAATTCAGTTGATGAAATAATGGGAAATTGTTTAATTTCATTTTTTTTCTCAGTTGACATCATTTTAAAAATTTTAGCACCACTATATTTCAATGATTTATAAATACCAGCTGTTAAAATTCCCTTTAAACTTTGTGATACACTTGAATTCCAAACAATTCGCCTTAAACAATTATAAACAATTTCACTACAATCAGGATCATGTGCAAGTGCACGTAGACAATCCTCAGAATCTTTTATTCTTGGCCCCTGTGACCATGCTCTAACTAACATTCTCTGTGGTGTTCGTGGCAATTGATTTAAATGATGTATACGAGTTGCTGGTCCAATATCTTGTCTACACATTGTTGGATCATCTTCTGATAATGGAATTTCAACATATTTATCAAAAAATTTTAATATTGGCGAATAAAGTTGACGAAAATTTTTCAATTGTGGAATAACAATATTTTTTATTTTATTTCTATCCTCACCAAATGTCATACGAAAATCACCATTATATGATAAACCAACAATTGTTTTGTAAAATTCAATTTCACTAAAATGTTCAGGCAATAATAGTAAAGCAGCATGTACTGCTGAATGTAAATTTTGTAAAACAACTGTATTTAAATTTGAATTTTCATCAGGTTCAATTAATTTTAATACTGGTTTATGCAATCGTCCAGCTAAATAAAGAAAATTCCAATCCAATAAATCTTCAACAAATGACATTTCTGAAATAACTCCATATTTAATAATACGACCTTCAGCAGTTTTAATAAGTGTATTGTAGTAAACTTTTGCACCCCATGTCTCTTGTAGTCGTGCAATTGCTTTAAAGCCCAAAATTCTTAATGGTTGAGCATAATGAGTTGGATTACGTCGTATATTTTCTCCATGCCAATGTTTTGAATTACGTACAACAAATATTAAATCCAACATATTATTTGATGGTTCATTTTTTTGTTTAAACGCTCCAGAACCATAAGCAAAACAATACTTCATGCCCTGAGGAAAATCCCTCAGTATGCGTTTGAATTGAGATAATTGCGCAACTTTTTCAATCATTTTTTTTTTTTTTTTATATATTTTTTTTGTTCCTAAAAACAAAGGAAATTTATCTTCCGAGACGATGATTGTATTTTTTTTTACGAAAATTTTACTAAATAACCATAAAAAGTGAACCACAAACGAAAACTACTTTTTTTTTTTTAAACAGCAAACACGACAATTCCAAAGAGAATTATTTCTCTTTAACAAATATAAACTTTCAAAGAAAACAAATCCTAATTAACTATACTTTATTTTAACTTTGGACTAATTAAATATGAAAACAATTGTCGAAAATAACAGCCACGTCGTGTTTTAATATTAAGCCACCGCAGTTAACCTAAAAATTACATTTTGTATCGCAATGTCGTAATAGTACTTACTTAAATTAATTCCTTTTTTTTTCTCCTCCAATTATTTGTATCGATGAACGATGATTAGAATAATTCGACTATAATGTTAAATATTAACACCACAATCTTAGTTTGTTGTTGCTGCTTATATTTTTAATATAAATAAAACAACATTTTACATGAAATCACACACAGCCAATGAGAATATAGTTTCGTGATGTTTAACATTATTTTTAATCGCACATGAAACGAAAATTATTGAAAAAAAAAATAAATAAATAAAAACTTTTTTTTCTATTTGTCATTTGAACAATTACAATAAATTCTAGTACCTTTGAGAAATTTCAATAAGTAATATAATATACTATTATAGTATATAGAATTGGAAAGTCAAAACGACGCAAGAGGCAAAACAAATGGAAACTATTTCTTGAACGCGCGGGTTCCTAAAATGGAGGTACATTACTGTTTTGGAAAATAAGGTTATTCAAGTTGGGTGGGGGAAATCCAAGATGGTTGCTTGCTGGTGCACCTATCAGCCTATCAGCATTCATTCCCACGAGAAATTTCTCGTGGGAATGAATGCTGATAGGCTGATAGGTGCACCAGCCATCATCCATCTTGGCTTTCCCCCACCCAACTTGAATAACCTTATTCCAAACATTCGCGCATGTCATTAATAAAACTTACATGGCGCAATTTTTAAATAATAATATTTAACTTTCAAAGTTTATTTTTAAACAAAAGATATAAATAATATATTAAACAAAAGTTGCAAAATTTCGATATTATTAATTATTTAAAAAATGTATTTATTTTAATTACCTAGTTTAATGAATATTTTATTATTGTTATTATATTTTTTATTAATTATGTACTTTCTGTTATTTTTTTTTTATTATTTTGTATTGTGACGTCATTGTGAAAATCAAGTGGTAATTTAACGCAGATATTTCTTTTATCGACATGTACAACATTTATGTGTCGATAAAAGAAATATCTGCGCTAAATTTCCCTTGACAGTGACGCAGCTATGCGCAGAAATCCGAATTAAGTGCTACGCGCAAACCACTTGGAGACTTGGACTCAATTAATGAATTATCATATAACGATACTAACAACCCTAGCGGGAAAACGAAATATTACAGATCACGTGGTTTATCGTTTTGTCTTTGTTGTGTTTGTAGCGTTTGTAGCACTATTGAGCACGTTTTAAAACACCGGTTAATCGTAAAGATTTAATTCGTAATCGTAGGTGAAATATGTAAATAAAAAAAAATATAAATGAGTTGTTTTGTAAAAGGTTGTACCACGTCAGGGTACATGAAGAAGAATTGTAATGAAAATTACAAAAAACATTTATTCTCGCCCGTTTCCGTAAGTATATATGTAAATGTAAAACATTTTGTTATTTTAAAATACAAAAGTATGCAAAATAAATGTGTGAAAAAACATATATATATATATATATATTATTTGTTAAAATAACCTCAATATTGTATACTTTACGCCTTTTTTTATTATGTAAATGATTGTTTTGAGTATAAACAAATTTTTAATAAAGTGTCTTTTAAGGTTATGTAATTGTTGTGATTTCACATATGTATAAATATATATATTCTCCGCAGTTTTATCTCACAAAATATTTGATAAATTGAACTAAAATTTTGTGGAGAACTTAAAAATAGTATTAAAAGAATCGCTGTTATATTTTATGAAAAATAATTATTAGAATAACTACTGGAAATACTATAGTAATTTTTTTCGCAAAACATTTGCCAAAAATTTACTTGTTGCGCAGAAAGTTTCTATATAAATGCTAGATCTGCGCAATAGTTTTTTTTTTTATTGTAAATTAAATGCATAGGAAAATATTTAACATAAAATTACGATTCCATTGAAATTAAAAAAAAAAAAATTTTTTTTCTACCAAAAAAAATATATTTCGCAAAAAGAAATTACTGGAGTTTCCAGTATTTAATTCCGTATAATTATTTCAGTAATTATCCCAATAATTATGCACATAATCATTTTTCGTAAGGAATGTGAAAGAATATTAATATTTTATAAAAAAAAAATTTATTTTTAAAAAATTGCATATTTGAGGAAAATTCAATACATGGGCAATACAATTTTTGTTGTTTCCCTAAATATGCAATTTTGTAAAAATAAATTTTTTTTTTACAAAATTAGGGTGTCTAACGGTCAGGGAAAAGTCAAGGAATTTTTTTAATTTTCTGAAATTTTTTTATAAATAAATTAAAGTAACTATTAGTTTCAATTTTTTTTTTACTTTTTTCCCAGAGAAAATGCAAATTAAAAAGTTTAACATGTGATATATCTTATATTCATTAAGTAAATAATTATTTACTACTATTTATTGAATCTAGTAAATGATTTTTTAAACTTGGATAACAATTAATTAATTTTTTTCAGTGAAATTTTTGTTTTTTTTTTTAAATAAAAATTATTTGATACAAATTTTATTTTATCGGTTCAACTACAAATAAAGTAAATTATTCATTAATATACGAATAATTTATTATTTAATGCTAATACTCACATTTAATTTATAAAAATTTTTACAGCGTCGAATATTAAATTATCGAATTTCTATTTAGCAAAATTGTATAAAGTGGATTTTATATTATGCAAAATTTTCAATTTACATTTAACTAAAATTCGATTTAATTTCTATTTAGCAGATTTCTTATAAAGCATTTTTTCTAATACTTTTTTTTAATTTTAAATTAATATAATTTCAATTTAACGAAATTTATGTCTATAAAAATTTAACAAAAAAAGAACTAAGTAGAATTTTTCTTAAATGATAATTCTGTTAAATGAGAATTAGTTCGAATTAAAATTTTCTTTAATAAAAACTTTGTTATAATAATGAATTTTTAAAAATAGAAATTCTGTTAATTGTGGATTTATTTAATGACAATTTTGTTAAGTAAATAGTTTGATAAATTGAAATTTACTAAAATAACAATTCTATTAAAAAATTTTTTCTTTATACAATTTTTCTTGACATAAATTCCATTAAATTGAAATTCGATGTACTAGAAAATCTGCCTTTATATAATTTTATTAAATAAAAATTTGATAATTTAAAATTTGACGCCGCAAAAATTTCTTTTAAATTAAATGTTGAGAATATTTAAATACGCCCACAATTAGTTTATTTATTTCACTTAAATATTTTATTTTTTACCAAATATTATTTATTTGGTTCAAATACATATGAAATTTGTGGTAAATAATTTAATTGTATCAAAAATAAATTTTATTTGATCAAAATAAATTTTTTTTAGTTTAATTTAGGTCAGGGAAAAGTAAGGGAATTTTTTTCCTAACAGTTGTTAGACATCCTGAAAATATTAATATACTCTGGCACATTTTTGACTTAAAAAAATTTTAGCACAATTTATCAAGTATTTTGCGAAAAAAAAACCCTCAGAAAAATATTTACATACTAAATCAAAAGAATCACGTGACCTTAATATAATTATTTAAATTTATTTATTGTAGGAGGAAATATTATGCGAGTGGAAGAAAGCAATTCCTGGAGGTGAGAATTTGTTGAAGAAACATAGAATTTGTGAACTTCATTTTGAAAAAGATGACATCATAACTGATTTTGTTACAAAAATGCCTGATGGAAGTGAATATCGTTTAAAACGAGAGAGACCAATGTTAAGAAAAGGAGCGATTCCAAAATTTTTTTCAACTTTAACTTGTAAAGAAACGTATGAAGCATCTCAAAAGGAAATAGAAAAAAATCATCAAAAAAATGTTATTAAAAATAATGAATCATTTTTATTGCTTAAAGGAGAGGAAGTAGATTTTAAAGAAATGATGAATTTTTCTGACAAAATTCCATTACCATCGAAAAATTGGTTTGTAAACTCTGTGGAAAAATTTATTCAATGGACATCGTATAGTTATAATTTCGATGATTGCTCAAAAATAGTAAGAGTAAATGATGACAAAACAGTAAATGTAAATATAATTTTTTTATCAAAATATTTTACTTTTTATGAAATTAATTTATAATACAATTATTTATATTTTTAGATCCTTTTAGGTAGAAAAAAAGTGGAAATACCAAATTTTCAAACAGTGAATAATGTCAATGATGTGGTTGCATTATTAAAGGAAGTTGACAAAGTTATTCCATGTGGGGAAACTGAAAGGCTAGTTTGTGAAAAAAATTGTTTCTTTTTTTTTTTTTGTCTTTTCACAAATTTTAATATTAATTATATATTATTTCTACAGATCAGACAAATGTTTTGGATTTATTATTCAAAAAGAAAGCAGCAGAGGTCGTAAATTTATATTTTGCGAAGAATGTGCGAAACATCGAAAAAGAATGCAAAACAAGATTGAAGTAGCGGATATTATAGCAAAACTGAGAATGAAAAATAAGAAATTAAGAGAGAAATGTAAAAATGCAAAAAGAAAAGAACTACGGTTGGTTAAAACTGTAAGTATAGAATAAAATTATATAACTAAATATTTTTTTCTAATATAATTAATTACAATTAATTGTCTAGAGAAAAGTACTCAAAAGAAAGATACAAGAGCTGCGGGGAAAACACGCCGAGACAAAAGAAGAAATTTTAAATTGATCCGAGGAATTAGATTTATCAGGCAATGGGCGTTACAAATGTATATCACTCAGGATTATAAACAAAAAAAAAATCAGAAGTGGAAGACACAAGATCGTATGAAATCAAAGTTAATTATAAATTGACTCTACTTATGACATATTTTGTTTCATAATTCGTTCCTATATTTTTATAGTGCTTCCTTGGAATAATGAGGGAATCTTGGGCTAATGATTACCCAAACTTACATTTATTTATGCAAATGTACAAGTTGATCTCCACATCTTAATCCAACCTCAAAGATAAGGTTCTATTTCCAACTTGTGAAATTTTTGACGTTCTACTAAAAAATAAAAAATATTGATGATGCGGAGAAAAGAAAAGAACAGTGACATTAGCTCGATACAAAAAAATTAAAAGCATACAAAATAAATTTTGTTCACAATTTAGAAGATAGGGCGATAAAACTATCTAATAAACAATTTCATGAAAGGAATTTAAAAAAAAATAGAAACAATTTTAAAAAACAATGGATTTCCTCAATACTTTATAACAATCAATATTAAGAATAAAAAACCTTACAAAAAAGAAAAGAGAAACCAACATGCAACATAACATATTCTCACTCAACTATATTCTATATTTAAAAAATTTTCCTGGAAATTACAAAATTAGTTGATAAGAGCACTTTATCTTAAGAACCTCAGGTGGCATTGAAAACTGTAAGGAAAAAAAACAACGTATTAACAATTCGTGATTTTTTAAATGTAAATATGTTTAATAATTTATAATTTATTTAATAATCTTAAAAATTGAAAATAAATATTCTATCAATTAAAAGAATAGAATAAATTATATTATCCAATGCGAATAATGCTAATACATTATTTTTATAAAAACAAGTAAAAAATATTTTGTATCAAATAATATTAAAAATTTGTAAACTTATTTAGCACCACTATCACTACAATTTATCGAATTTTGAGAAAAATCCGAGATATGACCCTGTCTTTTCATATGAAATGCCTCAATTGATTTTAACGAAAAGTAATGAATAATTTTAAACAATTAATTTGTTTATTTCACCAAAAAAAGCTTGGTTATTTGATGTACCTAATTCAAATTTGTTTATCCCAACAATTTTATTTTATAGATTCAAGTAAATTAAATTATTTAATACAAGTTATGAATGTTTTCAATGTCAATACTTTATTCTTTGAAACAAAAATATTTCGATTACGTACAGAAACGTGAGATTTTTTTTACATATGAGTCAAATCATTATATAAAATATAAATTTGATCATTTTACTTGAGTTAAATAATTTTTTATTTAAGTAAAATTTAGAATTTATTGGGAAAAAAAATATCTTTTCTTTTATATAAATAAATTTTGTCTTAGAGTTGAGTAAATTATTATTTTATTTAATTTAAAAGATTTTATTTTTTACTAGCAAAATTAAACGCGCTCAAGCGCGCCAAATTCAGTATTTAATTGTTTATTATAAAGAAATTAAAGATTAATATTATCAATAATAATTTAATTTATTAGAATATTATTACATATTAAATGATAATAATGAAAATTATATGTTTACAGACCTCGGATTATACGACTTTTTCCGACTTTTTTCAAAAATACGACTTTTATCGACTTATTTTAATAAAATGCGACATTTTTTTTACATTTGAAAAAAAATGTAAATAAAATACATTTTTTTAGTATAAAATGTAGATCTTCTTCAGATCTTCTTCAATTCAATTATTTAACAAATTTTGAACTAAAATGATTCTTCACTAAATTAATTATTTTTAATAATTTTAATTAAATACATCACAAATTCAATTATATCAAAATTATTTTTCAATTAAAATTTTTATGAAATTTAACAATTGTTTATTATTTAAAACAAATATATCACAAAATTGAATTATTTTTTAAAAATTTCAATTCAAAATAAACTAAAATTCAATTATTACTCGAAATTTTAATTCAAAATCAATTAAAATTCAATAATTATCCAAAATTTTCAATTTAAAATTTAATTATTTACCAAGTTTTCAACTTAAAATGAAATAAAATTCAATTATTTTCTAAAATTTCTATTCAAAATTAATTATCCAAATTTTCAATCAAAAATGAACTTAAATTAAATTATTATCCAAAATTTCAATTCAAATTCAATTATTTCCCAAAATTTTCAATTCAAAATGAACTGAAATTCAATTATTTTCCAAATTTAAAATCAAATAAAATTTAATTATTCTCAAAAATTTGAATTCAAAATGAATTGAATTTTCAATAATTTGAATTTAAAAGCGTCTAAAATTTCCCATCGAAAATTTTTTTTTTGAAATTTAATAATTTCTGTTATAACTCTAAGGAAATTCAATTATTTTTAACTATTTTAATAATATTCATTGAAAATTCAACTATCTGAAACCATTTTTCAATTAAAAATGATTTTCAAATTATTGTATTTTGTCAGCATTTTCTAATAAATTTTTAGTGAAATCATCTAAAATTTTAATTAAAAATCACTTAAAGTTTCAATTAATTTCAAAAATGTCAATTTTAAATCTTTGAAAATTCAATTAAATTTAAAAAATGTTTTCCAAAAATTGTTTGATAAATTATTTTTAGTTCTGTAAAATTTAATAATTGTTTGAAAATTAACAATATCTTTTGAAATTTAATTATTTCTAAAAATTTCAACTTTAACCCTTCGAAAAGGATTATTATTAAAAAAAAATTTTTATTTAAAAATCTGTAAAATATTTTTGTTAAAATAAAAAACAAATCCACTTTTTTTTGGAATATAAATCGACTAAAACGACTTTTTGTGTCTTTAAGCTGATTCGAGACCTTCATTATTCAACTTTTTCCGAATCTTTTTCAAAAATGCCAATTTTTTCTACTTATTTTAATAAAATGCGACTTTTTAGACTCTTTTTTTACATTTTTTAAAAAAAAATTTAAACAAAATACGTTTTTTTTAGTATACAATGCAGATCTTCATCAGATCTTCTTTAATTTCAATTATTTAACAAATTTTTTACTAAATTAATTATTTTTAATAATTTTAATGAAATTCTTCACAAATTCAATTATCTTCAATTATTTTTCAATTAAAATTTTTATGAAATTTAATAATTGTTTATAATTTTAAAAAAAAATTAGCAAATAAAATTACCAAAAATTTTTAATTAAAAATCACTTGAAATTTAATAATTTGCAAAAATTTCAATTATTTTTAATGATTTTTATAATATTCTTCGAAAATTTAATTATGTGAAAGCATTTTTAAAATTAAAAAATTTTAGAATTCAATTTTTGTATGTGATTTCTAATAAATTCTTCATCAACAGAAATCACTAAAAATTCCTCTTATTATAATTATTGTCTGAAATTTAACACAATCTTTTGAAATTAAATTTTATTTTTAAAAATTTCAATTTAAAAGTTTCTAAAATTTTCCATCTAAAATTTTTTTGAAATTTAATAATTTCAATTATAACTCTCCTAAAATTCAATTATTTTTAATGATTTTTATAATATTCAAAAATTAAACTATCTGAAACCAATTTTCACTTAAAAAGTTTTCAAATTATTATTGTATTTTTGTCCTGCAAAGTCTAATAAATTTTTTAGTGAAATCATAAAAAATTTTTAATTTAAAATCACTTGAAGTTCAATTTATTTTAAAAAATCTAAATTATAAATCTTTAAAAATTCAATTACTTTTAAAAAATTGTTATCTAAAATTATTTGATAAATTATATTTAGTTTGGTAAAATTTAATTATTGTCTGAAAATTAACAAAATCTTTTGAAATTCAATTATTTCTAAAAATTTCAACATTTAACTCATCCAAAATTATTATATTTGAAAAAAAAAATTTATTTAAAATTCTGTAAAACTTGTTTCAGTATTGCCTGAAATTTTTTTGACCATAAAAACTAAAACCTATTACAAAATTTTGTAATTCAAATAAATTGCTTAAATCAGACTTGAAAAAAATATAAAAACTTTAAGAATTTTTTTTAGAAATTTGTCCTACTTAAATAAAATTTTGATAATTTGTCTTTGTTCGATTCTGAAATATTAGAATTAAATTTTCTTTGATAATATTTTTATACTTTTTCGATATTTTTTTGGAATAAAAATCGATTACAACGACGTTAGTCGAGGCCTGTACTTAGTTTAAAATTTTTTTTAGTTATTTAAAAACAAACATTTTATTAATACAAATAAATATTTATTTGAATAAAAAAAACATAAATTATTGAAAGAAATAATTTGATTAATTTAATTAATAAATGACAAGTAAATTATTTATTTTAATCAATAATTTTTATTTGATCCAAATAAATTTTTTTTTTCAGTGCAAAATTTTTGTTGAGAATAGAATAAAAAAATTTTTGCGATTTTCGTATCTTTAAAAAAGCACCGGTCTGGGTTTTTTTTTTTTTAAAACACGATATTCTATGAAATACATTTCGTGCACAAAATCACGTTCTTTATATCTGTGAACGTGATGTGATGAGTGATAATCATGAACAAAACTGAATTTCTATTCAAGATCTAAATGTTATACAGTGTTAATGAATAAAGATAAGGTCAAATGTAAAATGAGATAATCTTTCTTAGAAATAGATGCAATTTTCCCAATCGTAATATTATATACATGTCACTGGCATATTTAGCGCAGGGGATTCCCACATTAAAATTAAAGGTATTTATGAATACCCCATGTATATATATAATATAATATCTCATATTATAACTATAATATATAATTTTTCCAAATTTGCATTTTGTAAATTTTTTGTCTAAAAATACAATACAATAACTTTATTTGTAAGAATTATTATTTTATTACTAATAATAATTCTATTTATATGGACTTGTTAAAATCAAAATAATTAGAAATTTGACAATAAAAAAAAAAATTATTTATAATAAGTAATTATTATTATTTATAATAAAATTTATGAAAAGATAATTTTTAGTAAAAAAATAATGAATTATTAATTTCGAAAACCGTTTATAAAAATTAATCATTGTACATATTTAGTTCTATGCGCATATATATATATACAGTAAAAAATAATTTCTTGATTGTTTTTCGATTATTTCGCTTTGTTAGAGCGCCTATTCTCACAGTCATTGAACTGGCTGTTCTCAGTCATTGAACCTGACCTTGAAGAACCGGAACGAATCGTTTTTCAAGAGAATGAGAATTTTTGCAATTTCAACGAGTGGGCTTTATAGTTCAAAATTATAACAATATATATTGGTGTAAAACTATATCGATAAAAAAGAAAAAAAAAATTTTCAACACTTTTAACATTGAACTCTTTACATTTTTTGACTACTTATCAATGTGAATTTAAAAAAAAAAAAAAAAAAAAACAGTTTTACATTTTCGAAAAAAAGTATGTAATTTGTCCTTTAACAGTGTGAATAATTTATAAATTATTTTTCAAGTTCTAGTAAATTTTTCTGAGAAAAAGAAATGGTAAATTCCCAATGCATTCGCATAGTGACCATGGTCGATTATTATGAAATAAAACCATTTTATACATTATTTTTGACCAATAATAATAATAATAATAATAATAATAATAATAATGAATTGCCATTTCCAGGAATTAACTTGTTTCAACTATTTATTAATTTAGTATAAGGATTTTTTTTATTCAACTTTTATGATTTTTAAGAAATATTTTTATATTTTTCGAAAAGAAATAAATTTTAATTTAACCGCATCAAAAAAACTCCACCAGAATATGTAAATTAATTAATAACAACATTGTCAATATAAATTAGATTTTTTCAATAATTCTTTTCTTCTTTCAAAATTTCTTCAAACAAAAAATAAGTGAAAAAATTTTTTTTTCTTTAAAAAAAATTTTCTTTCATTTGAGGAATAAATTCAATTTTAAAAGAAGAAAAAAAAATCTTCAAATCCAAAAGAAGAATTTCAAATAAAAAATGAATGATTAAATAAAGTTATATTTTTAATCAAAAATATTCTCAAATAAAGAAAAAATTTGTCTTAATGTTTTAGACGAATATCATAAATTGCAAAAATAAAATGTAAAATTAATTTTTAAACGGAATATTCTTCTATTATTTTGAGATTTTATTTTTTTCGATATCGTGAAAAAAATTATTTAATGAAATAAATTTAGTTTGTTTTTAATTTTTGAAGATTTTGATTATAAACATTATTTTTTTAAAAAAGATATTTTACAAAAAAATTTTTGTAATTAATTTTTATTCATTTTACAGAAAATTAAAAGGCATTAAAATAAGCTGCAACGCTTATTATATTTTAATCCAATTTTGCTTATTTTAATATCAAAATGGATTAAAATAAGCAAAATTGGATTAAAATAATAAACGTTGCAGCTTATTTTAATAACTTATAATTTTCTGTGTTTATTTTGCAGTTTAAAATCATTTTTTAATTTGAGGTTATGTTGAGGGCACCATCCTCCTTATATATTCTACAACAAATATGAGACATTTCTGTACCTTTATAAGGATTTAAAAAAATCAATTATATATTATATATTATAAATTATAAAATCGAGGGATTTTTGTGGTTGCTAGTTGAAAATTTGAAGTCAGATTTTTATAATATTATAAAAATCGGTATAAAGTTTTCATAAAAATCCAACAATTTTTTAAAAATTCGTCCTCCATATTGGATCCGCCATTTTGAATTTTGAAAAACTGACTTCAGATTCTTAATCAGCGACCCCAAAAACCCCCGAGTAACATTTTTCAAGCCGATTCGAATGATTTTTATTTTTTCGTCCGACATATTGGATCCGCCATTTTGAATTTCGAAAAGCTAACTTTAGATTCGTAATGAACGGTCCCTAAAACCTCCAAGTAACAAATTCCATGAAAATCCAACAATTAAAAAAAAAAAATTTCTAAAAAATTATTAATTTTCGAAAAATTTGTCCGATATATTGGATCCGCCATTTTGAATTTTCAAAATCTGACTTCAGATTCATAATCAGCGACATCAAAAACCTCTAAATACCCATAGTTTCATATAAATCCATTAATTAAAAAAAATCGTATACAACCAAAACTGTGAAATGTTTTTTGAGGTTAGGAAAAAACGGACTTCAGATTCGTGTTCAGCGGCCGAAAATACATGGGGGTAGGGCCTTTGAAAATAGGTCAACATTTACAAAACTGAAATTTTGAAAATTCATAACTCGAAAATTTGTCAAAAAAAAATTATCTGTTTTTTTCACAGAGAACAAGAAAAAAATATATTTGGCCGATTTTAAAGGGTCAACTGAAATCTCACGTGAAATCGACCATATAGGGAAGTTTCGTGAATTTGCTATTATTATATTTTACATGGAACTTTGGTGAGAATAAAATTACTTTTGTATTCCATTTGCAGGAACATGTTACAATCTTAATTAACTTGTTTCAATTGTTAAAAATGAATTTCAAGTAGAAGCAGGATATGTGTTAACTGAATATGTAATTGATATATATATATATCTTTTAATAAAATTCGGAACACATCTGACGATTACAAAACAATAAAAAGATTCGACTAAAATGCATATTATGACGTTCACTTTTTAAAGGAAACTTGTGTTTCATTTAAAAGGAAAAATCATCAAATTTTCAATGAAAAAAAAAGTACATATGTTGATTTTAAGTAAATAAAATTAAATTTTATCTTTTCGCTAAATTAACTTTTAAAAAATGCAAGTATTATTAACATTTTCGTACAATAAAGAAAATTAAAAAAAAAAAATTCCCTTTTTTTTATTTTTTTTGTTTTTTCTTCAATCATAATATATTTTATAATTTATTTCACCTTCAATCGCATCTTTTATATATTCTTAGAAACATTATTATTAGTTGTTTATTTAATTGTTTATCAGGTACTAGTTTTTGTATTTTTTAAAAAATAATTTTACAGCTATTTTGAATTTTAATTACATTTCAATGAGAAAAAAAAAGTAAATAATAATAATATAAATTTAAATTATATCTAAATTAATAACTCCTGACATTTCGGGAACTTTTTTTTTTTATTTATATTTTTAACGCCTTTTCTATTTAAATATATCGTATAATAAAAAAAAAAAAGTAACTAAAATCCTGACTAAAAATATTCTATATAGTAGAAGAAAAACTGGTTTCGAAACAACTAATAATATATAATCACTAAAAAAATAATCTAACAATTAAATATTTTTTATGACCTTGAAACATTTTCAATATCATTTTAAATAAATCAAGTTTACAAATTTAAAAAATTTTGTAATTATATTATTTTATTTAATAAAATAATGTAAACAAGCATATTAAACATAATTAAATAATTAATATTAAATTAATTATTAAACATATAATTAAATTACATATTATTCTTACACTTCTCCATTTATAAATGTTTTAGAGAATAAATTTTTTTATGCAAAAAAAAAAAAATCCAGTTTAATTAATTTCATTGAAAATTAAACATTTTCTATAGAATTACTGACGTACGTCAAAATTTCAGTAATTAGTCACTTCTCCATTAATATACGGTGGGTTCCCCAAGATCGAAAAAAAAAAAAAAAAATAAAGTGCTTCATCAAAGTGAACGGGATGTGACCATCAAATGTATCCCGTAATAGTTTTGTCATGTTTCAGAAAATTCAAATTTAACAACTAATTATTATAATAAAATAATTTACATTTTATTTTCCAAATAATTGAAAATTAATAAATAATATAAAAATCAGTTAAGGAAAAATTAATTATTTTAATTATTAAATTTTTCATTAATTTTAGAGAAAAAAAATAATAAATGGTTCATTACTTTTTCATCGAATGCGTCATTCATGAATCGTATATAAAGATCTTGACTAAACTCTGAGCTTCAGTCTCTTTTGTATCTTCGATAAAACAAATACTCATTAATAAAAAAAAAAAAAAAAATCAAAATTTTTAGTGTTAACCATGGTATCTGTTAAGTGGTTAGTGCTTGTGTTCACCCTTCTAGTTGTTGATCACTCTTATGCTCATGGTAATTTTTTTTTTATTTAATTCATAATAGTTTAAAAAAAATTTTTTTAATTAATAAATAAATAATACATTACAATTTGAAATGAAGCAATAGTTAAAAATCAATTAAAAATTATTTTAGTATTTAATAAAATTAAAAATTTTTTGGATCCCAATTTTTTTCTTTAGTTTGTAATTAAAACAAAAAAATGAAAAAATATTTAATTGACTAAAAAATTAAAATAGCTATTAAATTCAAGGCTAATTTTTTACCAATTTGTAACGAAGTTTCGGCTGCTGCCGCTACCCTTATCAAGTTTGCATTTAAAATAGTTAGAATCTGTTGTAAATTATTTTTTTTTAAATTAAATAATTTTGATTTTTTTTATATAAGATTTTTTATTTTTAAATTTATGTAATTTTTTTTATAACTATTTTTTTGGTTATAATTATATCACTGGATCAATGGATACCAATTTTCATGAAAAAAAAAATTAAAACTTAAAAAAATTATTTATTTAAACAATTTGCTTTTAATCAAAATGTATAAATAAATAATTTAACCTAATTTCTAAATATTTTTCTTGAAAATCGGTATCTGTTCTTCCAGCGAATATATAGATAAAACAAACGCGCATAAACACGCGTGTTTTGTTTTTGTTTGTTTGTTGTAAACATGACTTTAAACATCACTAAAATTTAAACATATCTTGTAATTTATTTACATTTTATCTGTATGAAAATTTTGACAGAAAATAAAAATTATATTATCATTGCTAACCGATTGATAAATACTTTTTCACAAACAATTAAAAAATTAGACGAATTTTAAACGCTAATCAAATAATTTTTTTTTGAAAGTTTTTTTTATCCCAAATATGAACGTCCTTAAATCAGCAAAAGATTGTTTCAATTAAAAAAAATAAATAATAACTCCTCATTCAGGTATTTTGGGCGATATTATAAATTCACATCGAGAGCGTGCAAGAGAAAAGCTTGCAAGTTTGGATCATTTTGGATTATTCGGTGGAACAGGAAAACATAATGATGCCGCCGCGAGTGCATCATCTGAATCAAAGAGTTTAGGAACATCCTTTAATCTTGGACCAATTGGATTTAGTACATCGTTAACATCATCATCAGCAAAAGCACAAGCTGGAGCTGGTGGAGGATCGGCCACAGCGAATGCAAATTCCAATGCTCAAACTGGAGGACACGGTGGTTCCGGAGGTTACGCCGATGGTAATTCCAATGCTCAAGCTTCTGCCAATGCCAATGCTGCAGCTCAAGGTAATCAAGAGTTATACTCTTTTTAAATAGAAACAATTTTATATACCACAAAATACCTTGACCAAAAATAATTAAGATCATTTGGATGATCAAAAATTGCTTCCTCTGCACCTTTATTCGCACCGCAATTCATTGTGAAACCAATTTAACAATTGCACAATTTCAATTACTGCACGCACAATAAATTTAATTATATTTGTATCATCGAATTGGAATTAGAAGTATTTTAAATAATTTTTCATAAATATACAAAACTTTTTGTAATTACAAAACCTTTTTGTAATATTTACCGTTTGGTAAATATCTATACAGAACCTTTTGTGATATTTACAGAGCGTTTTATTTACAGAATCTTTGATAGTATGTACATAACCATTTGTTAGACTTAGGAAATCTTTTGTAATATTTACAGAATCTTTTATAAATTTGTACAGATTATTATTCTGATTTTCAAAATTTTCGGTAATATTTGTAGAATCAATGATTTTAATTAAATTTTTCACGAAATCTGTTGATTTCTCACTGTGTTGACACATATCTTTTTTCTTCGTATACATTGAGTGTTGTCTTTAGATTTACATAATCAACTCTATTAATGGATTTTGTGATATCAATAGCATTTGTTCCTGTGTGTACCTTTTGTGTTGTGATATTAACACTGTAGAAAATATCCACTGATCAAAGAATAGAAGAGAAAAATTGTGTGATTTTGCAGGATATAATAAACCAGGGGGTTATAATTCCGAAAACGGAGGGTTGATAGTTCAACAATTACCAAATCCAAATTATGCAGGATCCTCAAATGCAAATGCTAATGCTGATGCAATCGCAAATACACATGGAAATTACAATACAAAACCTGTAGGGCATCATAATTCTGAAAATGGAGGTTTAATTGTTCAACAATTACCAAATTCTAATGCTAATGCTGATGCAAATGCAAATACACATGGAAATTATAATACAAAACCTGTAGGGCATCATAATTCTGGAAATGGAGGTTTAATTGTTCAGCAATTACCAAATACAAATAATTATGGAGGATCTGCAAATGCAGATGCCAATGCAAATGCCAATGGAAATTATAATACAAAACCTGGAGGTTATCATAATTCTGGAAATGGAGGATTAATTGTCCAACAGTTACCAAATACAAATACAAATGCTAATTCATTTAATAAAAACACTGGTGGAAATTATCCAGTGAATAAAGGTCCAGACGATACGATTCTCGTAGTCGTGGAAGAGGTTCCTCATGGACCAAATAGACAACAAACTAATAATAACCAAGCACAATTTTTTCCACATTCTCAACAAAAACCGTCTCAACCTATTATTGTTGTTATTGAAGAAAAACCAACCAAACACCAAGGTCAGTTAAATATTTCTAGTTTAGAGAAAAGAAGAGATGATGGATATTTGTAATCACAATTGGAACTTCAAAATTTCGGTGCGAAAAGTGCAGACTGATATCAGATTCAAAATTACCTCCAATAGGGTGAAATTTTTGGAATATTGGAATTAATTATAATTTCTTCTAGGTGGGTATGGTCATGGTGGATATGGACATGGTGGAGGTTACGGACACGGTCATGGAGGATACGGTCATGGATATGGAAACAATGGTGGATACGGTTTCCAAACTGGTGGACATGGTGGTTCAAATACCAATGGGAATTACTATAATCAAGGTGGATTACCAGGTGGAGTTTATCAACAACCAGGATATCAATTAGTTGGTCCACTTCAAGTATCCGGCGGTGGTTCTTCAAATGCACATGCTAATGCCAATGCAGGTGCTTCAAATGTTGGTCAAGGGTACTATGGTAATTATGGACCACAAAATTATGGTCCTCAAAGTGGATGGTATGGTGGATCGAATTCGAATTCTAAAGCTGATGCCAATGCTCATGCACAAGGAGGTGGCAATCAACCATCAGGATATTATCAACCAGGTGCACCGATCCAAGTTTATGGTGGTGGTTCTTCTAATGCTAAAGCTAATGCCAATGCTCAGGCTCAAGGAGGTAGTAATCAACCATCAGGATATTATCAACCAGGTGCACCGATCCAAGTTTATGGTGGTGGTTCTTCTAATGCTAAAGCTAATGCCAATGCTCAGGCTCAAGGAGGTGGTAATCAACCATCAGGATATTATCAACCAGGTGCACCGATCCAAGTTTATGGTGGTGGTTCTTCTAATGCTAATGCCAATGCTCAAGCACAAGGAGGTGCGAATCAACCGTCAGCTTATTATCAACCAGGTTCTCCTATTCAAGTTTTTGGAGGTGGTTCCTCGAATGCTAAAGCTGATGCTAATGCCAATGCTGGTGGATATGGTGGAAACGGAGGATCTAATGCAAATTCCAACACTAATGCCAATGCTGGTGGTTACGGTTTCCATAATAACGAAATTCCTTCATATCAAGGTAATGTAATAAAAATTATTAAAATTGATTACGCTTATTTAAACGATACGTTTTAATTCATCTTGTTAGTAAAATCAGCTTTTAAAATTGTTTTATTATGCAAAATTAAAATTTCCTCTTCATACAAAGTATCTGATGTTATCAAGAAGTTTTATCAATTCTTTTGATACTTTAATTATCTAATTTGAATACAATTAATTAATTGAATACAATATACGGAAAGAAGAATTCTCAGGTGAGATGCGACAATGGGTTTAAGCTTGCTCAGGTTTGGTTGAGGCTTGGTAAATATTGGTTAAGATGGAATAAAAAGCAAAGGAAAAATGCTTTGTAGTAACACTGATTCAAGCCTAAAGCTTCAATTTTGTTTCAAGATTGGTGTCTCCAAGCTATAATGTCTAGAACCAAACCGCAATCCGTTGTCAATTTTGGCTTTCCTCACTTGGGTTACAGTATATTCTACTTAAGTTTAGTACAAATTCCACTAAATAGCGTAGTCAGAGGGATTTTATAGTTCTGTCACCATACCAAAATTACCGAAACGAAATCTGATTGGTTGTCCACAATGTACAGATTCTACAACCAATCAGGTTTGTGTATTTCGTTTCGGTAAATTTTGTTCACCATGTGTAAATACTATCTTAGGGTTCAGTCCCATTACGACGCGAATACAGAATGCAAAGCAGAAAACCGTGAGTACAGAAGAGATAGAAATCTATCCTTTTCACTCTCATTATTTTCTGCTTTGCATTCTGCAATCGCGCCGTCATGGGACTGAAGTCTTACATTTTACTGAATAGAATCTAGTTCCTATTAATGACAATTTAGTGAAAGATTTTCTTCAATAGTACGCTAGGACTAATGAAAAATGTTAAAAAATTTTAATTTCTCAACACAGGTGGCGGTCAATCATCAGCAAATGCAAATGCAAATGCCTCAGGTTCATCTTACGGTTTTGGAAATGGAAATGCAAATGCAAAAGCTGATGCTTCAAGCAATGCTAATTCTGGAGGTTTCGGTGGTAATATTGGATCAAAAAGTTCCGCTTCAGCATCGGCTACAATTGATACAAGAGATGGATTAATTTTCGCTGACTGATTTTTTAAATATTTATTGTGATTTATACCATATATACAGATTCATAAAGTACTGAGATGTGAGAGAAAAAGCTTAATGTTGAAAGAGATTTTGTGATTTCTTCTAAATGCCATTTGCCGTTTTTTTTTTTTGATCTGATCGATCTTCATACCTATTTTGCCAGACATTTTTTTACTTATTAAAAATAGGGAAATGAAACCGATTAATTCATTTTGCTAACAATAATCTTTAGGCAGAAGATAATAGACATTATTAATATTTTAGGATATAAACTATAGTGAAAATGAAAAAACAGAAGTTATGTAAGAGTCAATAATGTATGTTTGATGTAGTGTATTTATGTACATATATATTTTGTTGTTATAAAGAAATTTTTAGTCTTGTAAATAGAAACAAGTAGAGTGTGTTTCTTTATGATAATCATTTACTATATATTTCTCAATAAACTTCTGTTAGAAAATTTTTTTACTGTCACGTGTTAGTGAGAAAAAAATAACAACTCGAGTCAATATTTTTCTATAGCACTTGTTTTTTTTTCATATAATTAATTTATTTATATACATAGGAATGTTATGCGCAATATTTTTTTTTTTTTTAATAATTATTACTGCATCATTTACAATATTACTTTTCCGGAATTTCCGTCTAAATATCATTGTGATTTTTTTTTTATTTATCTGTGCTTCATCGTGCAATATATTTTTGTTACGTAATCACTCACACTTGTATCATTGTCTTAGCAGTAAATAAATTTTCATAATTTTCAACTGTCAAGAATCACTTTGAATTTTTTTCTTACAATTATTTCCCTCTTCTGTTTTTTCTTCATACTATTTAAAAATAAATAAAAATTTTAGTTGTTATTAACCATTTTTTTGTAATACTTAAAAATTATTTCTATTTCATTATTTATTGACAAGAATAAGTTTAAAAACATAGTTTTTTAAATGAAAATTTTCAAATGTTTAAATAGATTTTAAAATTTCTATTTTGGACCTTCGTCTATATGTAATTTTAACTCTGAAATAAAATTCTGCTTTACTTATTACATAAATTTAAAACTTTCAAAAAAAAAAAGAATTTTGAAAGTTAAATATATACACATTTTACATTTAAAGAAAATTTGATGAAACTTGTTTTGAATTTCAAGAGTAAAATTACGCAGTTATACGTATTATATCCATTGATCATGATATAATCTTTGGCCCATAAAAAAAAATTTATACGTTATAAACTTGTGGAAGAACTTGAACCCTAACTTGGCCTTCAAATAAAAATATTAGAAAGAGAAGATAATTACGCTATTTCATAAAAAAAACTTCCTTTTTTTTAATAAAGCGTTTTAAAATGATGATCATTTATTTGATTGAAAATTTTTTTATAATAAGTACAATTATATTATCACCAAAAAATGTATTTAATTTTTTTTTAAAATCAAATTAATTAAAAACTAGCGATATAATCGATTGTGTATTAAAAAGACAATAACAAATTTTTTTTCTAACTTCAACAATTTTTTGGACTAGTAAACAAATTTTTTTATTTTTACTTTTTTTTTCAAAATCCCGAAATTCTATTTGGTTTATTAAAGAATTCATTTTTATTACAAAAAAATAAATAAAGAAGATTTAACTGTTGGAAGCAAAAAATCTAATTTTGCGAAAATCAAAGAAATACATTCTGTGAAAACGAAATAAAATTTTTTTTCAATATAACGGATTTACGTAACATTATATGAAGAAGGTTCTAGTTTATAGTACTTTATTCAAATGGTCCCCAGGATATCTTGGGATATCCAAACCGCCGGTCTGTGGGACATCAACAGGACATCCATAGGATATCCACAGGATATCCCTAACACATCAACAAAATATCTATTGGATATTATATCGCAGGATATCCATGGGATATCCTCAGGATGTCCGTGGGATATTCTTAGGATATTCACGGGATATTTAATATCTCAACATATATTTTTAAAGGTTAAAATTGTTAAGCTAATAATAATGAATAATAATATAATAAAAACAAAAATCTTATGAGCTTCTAATTTATTTTAAATGAAGATTTGAAACGCATTTTTCAAAGTTTTTAAATAAACTCATGCACTTAATGTATAATTAATATTAATAGTTATTCGTTATTTGCGGGGAAGAATTTATATTGTTTAAAGCCAATTTATTTTCTAACAATATTAAGCATATGACTAAAGGAATGAATCGCGAATGAGAAAAAAATTAGTTAATAATTTTTCAAATTAAACAACTTTCTCGAAAAACAAGTTGCATTTTATTTTATTTATATAAAATTTAATTCACAGAATATTCTCACTCGTAGTCTCATAATGACTTTAAAAACAGTATCCTGAGAATATCTTCTTGACATCCAGAAGATATACTGAGAATATCCTGATGATATCTGTGGGATATCCTGACGATACCTATGGGATATCCTGATGATATCTGTGGGATATCCTGACGATATCTATGGGATATCTGGAGGACATTTATGAAAGTCTATAGAGATATCCAGAAGATATCCTGTGGATATCCTTAGATATCCATGGGATATCCAAAGGATATCCAAACCGCCGATTTTTTGGATATCCTTAAGAGATCCTTTTGATATCCATAGGACATCCCTAGGATATCTGCGGGATATTATCAATATATCCCAAGATATCTTGCGTTATTAGGGATATTTTATTATATAAAATCGAAAACACCAAGAATTTTTATTCTTTATTATAATATATATTGCAATATTATTATTTTAAAAAATTAAAAAATAAATATAAAAATACGTTTATTATAAAACCAAAGTTCTGAGAAAAAAAAGTATACGTAATTTTTTGTAGGTTTATAAGTTTACGGGTAAAAAATTGTTAAATTTAAGTTTTTTTCAAAAGTATATATAATATCTATTTTTAATCACATATATATTTGCATCAAAATGATTTTTTTGAAAAACTTTTTTAAGAAAATAAAAGTTGTTTTTTGATTTTTAACAAGTGTTGTCAAGAAAATTTTTTAAAATTTTTATTTTAAAAAATATAAATTTTTTATAAACAAATTTATTTATTTTTAGTTTGATCATTTAAAATTTTTTTTGGATTTATTGCATATCTGAAAACAATAAGAAAATCTTGCAAAATGTTTTAGGCTTGGTCTCAGGAAACTTTTTGTTTAAATAATTTTACCCACAGAAAAGCAAAATAAAATACATTTTAATTTTTAAAAATAAAATCAAGGTGAAAAAATTTTTATAAACAAAATATTTAAATAAAAAGATTCATCAGGTTGAGCCAGTACTGGGTCAATATCGGCTCAGTACTGGTTTTCCAGTACTGGGAGGGTGGTACTGCAACAGTACTGATACAATGAAAAAACCAGTACTGGTTCAGTACAGACTGCCCAGTCTCGGCAGCCAATACTGAACCAGTACTGCGCCAATAGTAAACTCTGGTATAATACTGAAATTTTTGGTTGGGTAATTATAAAGAGTCGAAAATTTCATTTAAATGTTCAAGAAAGTTTCGCGCTAAACATTTATTTAAGTGGGACATTTAAATCTTTACACAATTTTCACTAAACATTGCAATTAAATATTCCGAACATTTCAAATAAATCTTTAGGAAATCTTTAGGAAAGTTTCGGTGCTGTGAGGGTCTAGTTATGGAAAAAATTATGTTAAGTTAAAATCTGTTGTTAAATAATAGAGAAAAAAAAATTTGCCTCAGAGCTGAATAAATAAACATTTATTTGTTTTAAATAAATTTTATTTGCGTTAAAATAAAAAATATAATTTTTACAGAACAAAATTTAATTTCCGTTTAACAAAATTTCTATATATTATTAAAACAAATATACAAATATTTATATATTTAGCTCTCAGACAGGTGTATATTTTTATTTTAATTTAAAATACATTATATATATATATATATAAAATTTCTCTTGATATTCGGAATAAATTTGTAAATAACGGATTTAGGATTGTTATTTATTCAAGAATTATTATAACAAGGAAATAAAATGGTTCACGCGTAATATTGACAAATTTATGGATGTTCTTTTTTTTTTATTTATACAATTTACGATGTTTTATAATTCAATAAGAAACAGGTATGTGAACTTTGTGCTATATTCGAATAAGAGTTTCGAAGAAAAGAAGGTGTGGTCCATATAGGTGAGGTTTAAAATTAATTTTCTTTGTAAATGTATGATTTTATATACATGTTTATATACATATATATATGTGTAACATTTGGGAATTCCCCTTGGAAAATTATTAGGTAAGTTTATATCTTGTTTAACACATTTACGAAACTTCTTTAAGGCATAGAGAATTTCCTTTCGTTTTTTTTTCTGCTTTCGCCACAATTTAGATGTACCAAACTTTTATATAACTTGTGCAATACATTTTCTTTGCATTGAGTTGCAGAGATTTAATTTCTATTATATAATTGACATCTTTTTTTTCGAAAATATTTTTTCTAATTTAAAATTTTAGCCTGAAACTTTCTTTCTTAAAAAAATAAAAATATTACATCGGTAAAGTTCACAACGTTTATGATCAATGCGATTAAAAAAGATTATTTAATAAATGGATAATAAAAAAAAAAAAAAAAAAAATGCGACTATACCTCAAAGAAGGGAAGTAAAAATTAAAAAAAAACTGTAATTACTATAAAAATAAATGAATAAAAAAAACATCTCTATTTGTTACGTAATAAAAGTTAAAGTAATTAACATTGTTAACATAACAATAAGAATATATTATATATGTGTGACATAATTTAGATAAAAAGAGAAAAACGAAGAAATTACAGCTACTTTAAATCATCTTCTACTTTTAATATTGAATATTCATGAACTTTTTTTTGTTTGAATAAGAAAGTTGTATGTATATATATATATAGTTATTATGCTTATGTATGTTTATAGCCGAAATAAATTATCCATTCATGTTTCTTGTTGATCCTGATTTCAAAAAGCCCACGCAAATTTCTTGTAGATTTTCAATAAACTAATTAACACACATACAAATATATATATATATATATATATATATCGATTCACCTAAAGAAGTTGTTTTTAAAAATAATCAATTTTTTTTTCCGTACAAAACTATTTTTAAAATGATTTCTCAAAATTGACATTTTAGAAATACTTCCTGTTGCAAAAGAAAAGGATTTTAATTTTATCAATACAACTTTTTTTTTGCAAAATTGAAAAAAAGTTAAATAATACATTGTTTTTTTTACAATTATTATTGTAATAATTATTTATTTAAATTCTATTTATGCCAGTTATTTAGAAAAATTATTTGATGATATCAAAGAAAATTTTATTTAAAGTATTTCCACAATAAGAATTCATTATACCCAATAAGAACGTATAATATTACTGTAATATTACAGTTACATTACCAGGTAATATTACTGGAATATTACAGTTACATTATCAGGTAATATTACTGGAATATTACAGTTACATTACCAGGTAATATTACTGGAATATTACAGTGATATTAAAATGTCCGCCTGATGGTGATATTACCGAGTAATATTACTGTAATATTACGGTAATGTTACAGTAATATTACAGATTAATTTCAGTTACTTATAAAGCATCACAATCATAAATATATATTGTAAGTCAGTGTGGCTTGTTGGTAAAACTCTGGACTTGTGTGCCTTGAGTTCGTGGTTCGCTTCCCCGGTTGGGTACATTTTTTTCGTGAAATAATATATTCTTCTAATATTATTGCAATATTCTCGTGTATTATTACCTTAATATTACGATATAATATTACTCTAATGTTACTGTAATATTACAGTAATAATTTGCCTTAATATTACCGTGTAATATTACAGTAACATTATCCGGTAATATTACCATGAGGCGGACATTTTAATATCACTGTAATATTACAGTAATGTTACCGGGTAATATTGCTGTAATATTACAATTTAATAATTTTAAATTTTAATTTTATTTTAAATTTTTAATTTTAATTTAATTTTTAACATAATTTTTCAAAAGGGTCTGTTGAGGTTAAGTTTTTTTTTGCACAAGGGGCGAAAATGATCATAAATTTCGACCATCTTTGCGCAATGTTTTTTTTTCGCAATATTTTATATACAATTGTCGGTGATGATTCAAGTTGAACTACATCCCGCAGTTACCTTGGACCAGAAGGTCATCAACTTATTAAAACTCATCATCTCTCGCAGATTTTCACACTAAAAATTGTATAATATTATATATATGTGTATGCTATTGTATATTTGAGCGAAAGTGACTTTGAACCGATATTGAAACTGAAATTAAGTTGTTTGTGAATAAAAATGGTGAAAGGGTGTCTCTTGTATATAAAAGCAAACGTACGTGAAGACTCGTTTTACCAGGTCTTTAACTTTCCTCCTTTAAAGATGGTCATTCGCATGATGATGGTCTTTTTGTTAATAATAAATGTCTTATTTATAATTGTCGGTTCACATGGGAAACCAATGAATAATGACAATTTAGTTGGATTAGTTGTTGTTACTCCAGAATCAACTGTTCTCGATTCTGCGGAAATTTTCAATGGTAATAAAAAAAAAAATATATATATATATACATGTATATATCAGTGCGGTAATAATGCAGATGGCAACAGGTGTGCAAAATACCGTCGAAAAAATAAGAGCCCTTCAAACTGATACTGATTTATCGCCCTCTCCAGGAAGTGAAAAAACTGTGTTGTGTTAAAAATGCTTGTGCTACTTTTGCGTTAAACGCGTGTGAAAATGTTTTTTTTTTATCATATTGCTTCCTCATGGAGAAAGCATTGTAAATTTTTCAATTTATTTTTATGTTTTTCGACCTCAGGAATCAAAAAAATCACATTTTTAAAAAATGTCGTTCCTTGTGTGTGTGTATAGACTCTACATTTTCTTAAATATCTCGAATACTATAAAAGTTAAAGGGATAAATTTTTTTTTTAAATTGTAGGTCTCACTGGCGGACAAATAATGAGAGTACTTTGAGCAATATTAATAAAGATTAACTAAAATTTTTTTTGAATTTAAAAATTTTTGAAAAATCGTTTTTTTGACCATAACTTACAAAAAAATGTTAGTACACCTATAAATATTTTTCTTTAATTTTGAAGAGTTTTTTAAGACGCATCTTTTTTAAGCTATTAGCGAACATTTTACTGATATTCTATCTAAAGTTATTGAATTTTTCGAAATTTAAGAATCCAAATTTTAATAATAAAAATATATCCAAATAATCGATAATAAAAACTTCAAAATATCCAATTATTGATGACATCAAAATTGAGGTTAGGTTGACCAATACAAAATATTCAATATATAATCAATTTTTCTCAAAGTTTTCTTAAATCTTGATATTTTTTTCTTAATTTCTTGTTTCAGTTGAACATTGGCTCGAAAGTACATATAAATAAAAAGGGATTACAGACATTAATATTCTTAATATTAAATTATTATTAAATAAGATTTTTCCATTTCTCGAATCTATAATGTGATTTCGTCTAGTAAATGTTTGATATTGAAATATCTTTTTCGGGTATAATAAAGCAAAGTGATTTAATATATTGAAAAATAAATAAACCTTTGTAAGTCTACAATTTAATAATAATTGTAATACAATTTGTAAAATTGTAAATTTTACAACGTCACAACAGAAATAAAAAGCAAAAATAAGAAACACAAGACATTTTTTATTATGATTATCTGGAAAATATTATATAATTCGTTTTTAGCTTGTAACTCCAACGGCATTCAAATAAAATGAATCACAAAATAAGAAAATTGTTTTTTAATCAATTTTAAATAAAATAGTTCATAAATGAAAAGTGTGCTTGCGATTTGAAAATTTTTATCTATCTAACCCTCACAGCACCAGATATCCTAGGATATTCCAAAAACATCCCTTGGATATCCTAAGGATACTTTAAGGATATCCAAAGTAGCGGCGGTTAGGATATCCCAGGGATATCTAAGGATGTCCCTAGGACGTCCCAGGGATATCCTAATCATTTCCACGGATATTATTAGGATATCCTGTGGATATCCTTAGAACGTCCCAAGGATATCCTCAGGACGTCCTATGGATATCCCAGGAATATCCCTAGAATATCCCCAGGATATCCCACAATATCCTCAGTATATCCCCAGGATATCCCAAAAATATCCTACGTAATGGCGGTTTGGATGTTCTGAGGATATCCTCAGGATATCCTAGGATATCCTATAGTCGTTTTCAGGATATCCTACATTAGTTTAGGATATCCTGAGGATATCCTCAGGATATCCTTTTGTTGTGAGGGAAGTCATAATCAATCGGTTCTGTGGATTTGCTCGCATATACGCTAAAACAAAGTTTATTTGAATCAAATTAACTTTATTTGAACCAATAATTTTTGTTTTTGAAACAAATAAAATTTAATTGACTCAAATAAAAATTATTTAGTTCAAGGAATTATTTATTTTACAATATCCAAGTAATCAATTATTATTATTTGTATATGAATGAATTTTTTTTTTCAGTGTAACCGCTGCTATAAGTTGAAGTCTTTTTTTTGTGTTTGCTTTTTATATTTTTTGTAAAGACCAACTTCAAGTTAGGACAGAAGAACAGACCAAGAATTTTATTATTATATATATACATATATAATTTAATATGTTTTCTTTTTTTTTATCACTGTAGTAATTTTGAAAAAGTGTTTAACCAAAAAAATTATTTCGTTTGTTTATTCGTTAAAATCTTCAGGTACATAAAAAATTAATTAACAATGTAATTTGACTAACAATTTGGAATTTTAAATGTAATACAAAAAAATTATTAAGGGAACTTGTGTGTTATTAAAAGGTCATTAAATTTATTATAAAATAATAATAAACAATTTTTCATAATTTATTTACAGCGAAAATTAAAATTTAAATGGCTGTAAAAATTGAATTGTTATATTTTTTATATATTAGAACGTGTATTCTATTCTTAAAAGATTATTTAAATATTTTAAATGAAACAAATATAATTAATTATAATTATAATTAATTACCTACAATTAATAAATAATGAAACAAATATCTCAAAATGGATTAATAATTGTTTTAAAAATATTAAAAATATTTTAATACTGTTTTAGTTATTATTATTATTATTATTTTTAGATGTTGTGCGAGTGCAACGATCTCCACAAGGAGGGTTATTGAATGACGATGCTTTTGAAGATTATTCTGATGACCCAGAGGGTCGACATTTGCATAAACGCAAACATAAACGTAAATATCATGGAGGGTTTGGTTGTCACAGAAAACATGGCTGTGGAGGGTGAGTTCTCGTTTTTTTTTAGAATTATTTTAATTATACATACATAGACATAAACATGCCATATAAAAAAAATTTCCCTTCTTCTTAACATCTTCTTTAAAAAAAAAAAAAAAAAAAAAAAAAAAAAAATGTTTTTACCTATATTATCAAATAATATCAAACAAACGAGAAAAAAAAACTTTTTCTACATTGGAAAAAAATTCATTTGATTCAAATAATCGGTTACTTCACTATTATTAAATAAATATTATTTGATAATGAATATAGAAATTTATCACTTGGTAAAATAATACATAAGAAAGATGTTGAATATATATGTGTACCCTCACAGCACCAGATATCCTAGGATATTCCAAAAACATCTCTTGGATATCCTAGGGATACCCCAGGGATATCCTTTAGGATACTTTAATGATATCCAAAGTAGCGGCGGTTAGGATATATTAGGGATATCCCAGGGATATCTAAGGATGTCCCTAGGACGTCCCAGGGATATCCTAATCATTTCCTCGGATATTATTAGGATATCCTCAGGACGTCCTAAGGATATCCACAGTATGTCTATATTATCTTAAGGGTTAAAATATCCTTGAGTCGTTCTAAAAATGTCCCTAAGGTCTCCATAAAACGACCCTAATATACAAATTAATTAAATAAAAATGGAAAACATATTTTTTGGATGTATTTAAAATGTATTTCCAAGATATCTAAAATTATTTACCTTGTCTACAAGAATTCTTTTTTCTACTTTTTCTTTAAAAAAAATCTCTTGAAAAAACCAACTTAAGCGCTAACTATTTGTATCAAAAAATCGCTATCTCAAATAGTCAAAATTTGAATCATAATGATATTCTAGGGAGATCTTAGCGATATTTCTAAAATATTTTAACGATATACCAAGTTTATCCCAAGAATATCCCCACGATATCACTAGGATATCCGTGGAATATCCCAGGGATATCCCTAGAATATCCTCAGGATATCCCAAAAATATCCTACGTAACGGCGGTTTGGATGTTCTGAGGATATCCGCAGGATATCCTAGGATATCCTATGGACGTTTTCAGGATATCCTACATTAGTTTAGGATATCCTGAGGATATCCTTTTGTTGTGAGGGTACGTCCGCATGAAAAGGGACCACTTTATCGATTACAATAAGGATAATTTTTGCGTGAACATTAATGCAAATATCGTCCTTATGAAAGAAACTAAAGTATTCCCTTTTCATGTAGACGTACACATATTATTAATAATAATATGAATATTATTTGATTCAATTAAATAGTATTTGTTTCAAATATAGAAATTAACGTCGATGAAGTGCACAACGTTTATGATCAACGATTAATACAAAAAAAAAAATATTTTTCACTGACAAAGAGAACATGTCAGAAAATTTTAAAATTATTGTCCTATAATTTTTTTCTTTTACAAATTATTGTTAATATCAAGAAGCATTGCAAAAATGTTTTCAATTAAAATAAATTATAATTTGTATAAAAAACATATATTTTCTTTCAAATTGTTGATTATAAAAGTTGTGAATTTAGAAATTATTGTTCCAAATACAGTTTATTTAATTAAAATGAAAATTATTTGTTGCAAATAATTATTTATTTGATAATAGTTAAGTAACCGTTTATATATGAATCAAATAAATTTTTTCTCAGTTTACAAAGACGGAGGAAGCAATAAATAAATATTTTTTTATAACTATATTATACATTATTTAGAACATATAATTTTTATTGAATTTATAGTTTTATCGCTACTTTAAAATAAATGGTGAAATTTTAATTATAAAAAATCTTTATCTGGAATAGCGATATGTTTCTCTATATGAATAGCAAAAATTTTCATTGTTTCAGTGAAACATTTTGCGTTCCAAGTAATAATTTTTTTCCGTTGTAAATATTATTATTTATAATTTATTATCAATAATTATTATTTGAATTTATTATTTATGATTTTGAATTTATTATTATTAATTATTATTAGTAATTATTATTTGAATTAATTGGCAAAAAAATAAGAGAGAAAAAAAATTACTGTTGAAAAATGATTTCTTGTGAATGTATGTATATTATTGTATTTGAAGATGATGAATACAAAATCCTGGGATAATGTGTATTGTATATGTATATGTATATTATATTGAAAGGATGAATATATTTTTCTTGAAAAAATACACTGCAGATGGCAAGGTGGTTATTTCCCAACATACGGAGGTCATTACCCCTTTCACCAACAATTCGGTCAGGGAGGATCCTTTGCAACAGCATCCGGAGGATTTTTTGGTGGAGGGCATCATGGAGGGAATGGCCATGCCAATGCCCAAAGTGCAAGTTTTAATCTCGGTCCTTTCAGCTTTAACCTTGCCCAAGCGGGCGCTGGTGCTAGACCATTTTTTTAAGTAAGTCTTAAATTCCAAAAAAAAAAAAATAAATAAATAAAAATTATGAGAATTTCACACACTTTTATTTAACATCATTATTATATATTATTTATTTTATTTAAAATTGATTTAAAAACAATTTTCTTATTTTGTGATTCATTTTATTTGAATGCCGTTGGAGTTACAACCCTCAAAACAAAAGGATATCCCTAGGATATCCATATCAATGTTCGATATCCTAGAATGGTCCCTAGGATATCTTGGGATATCCCTAGGATATCCAAACCACCGGTCTGTGGGACATCAACAGGACATCCATAGGATATCCACGGGATATCTCTAAGACATCCACAAAATATCTATTGGATATTATATCGCAGGATATCCATGGGATATCCTCAGGATGTCCGTGGGATATTCTCAGGATATTCACGGGATATTTAATATCCCGAAAAAAAGATTAGATTCAAAATTTTTTTTTAAATAATTATTTTTTTAACATTTTAATATTTTTTCTCTCAGCTCAGACAAAAAATCATAGTTTTTAACTAATTTTAATAAACAAGGTCTTATTTTATTCAGTAAGACATTCTCTATACGCTTATATTTTTAGATTTTTACATAGTTAAAAGTTGTTAAAAAATTATAAATTAAAATTTTATTTAGTAAATAATTTTTTTACAATTAACGGTTTAACAATATTAAAAATATAAGTAATTGCAGAGTAGGTTTCACTGAATAAAATAAGCCATTGTTTATTAAAAAATTAGATAAAAACTGTTATTTTTATCTGAACTGAAAGAAAAAACTTTAAAATGTTAAAAAAAAATAATTATTTAAAAAAAGATTTTGAATCAACATCGTTTTTCTGCAATTAACAAGGTCTTCTAAAATTAGTTGCAATTAATTGTAATCATAATTTTCATTGCGTTAAATTGTTATAAAAAAAACAATTTCTCAGTTTTGAGGTTATGTTAACGTGTGTACCATTCCTCTTTAAAACAATCAAATTTGTTTTTCCGATTAATGATAATGCACCCTCATAACAAAAGTATATCCCTAGGATATCCATATCAATGGTCGATATCCTAGAATGGTCCCAGAGATATCTTGGGATATCCATAGGATATCCCTAGGATATCCAAACCGCCGGTCTGTGGGACATCAACAGGACATCCATAGGATATTTGCAGGATATCCCTAAGACATCCACAAAATATATATTGGATATTATATCGCAGGATATCCATGGGATATCCTCAGGATGTCCGTGGGATATTCTTAGGATATTCACGGGATATTTAATATCTCAACATATATTTTTAAAGGTTAAAATTGTTAAGCTAATATAATGAATAATAATATAATAAAAATAAAAATCTTATGAGCTTCTAATTTATTTTAAATGAAGATTTGAAACGCATTTTTCAAAGTTTTTAAATAAACTCATGCACTTAATGTATAATTAATATTAATAGTTATTCGTTATTTGCGGGGAAGAATTTATATTGTTTAAAGCCAATTTATTTTCTGACAATATTAAGCATATGAATAAAGGAATGAATCACGAATGAGAAAAAAATTAGTTAATAATTTTTCAAATTAAACAACTTTCTCGAAAAACAAGTTGCATTTTATTTTATTTATATAAAATTTAATTCATAGAATATTCTCACTCGTAATCTCATAATGACTTTAAAAACAGTATCCTGAGAATATCTTCTTGACATCCAAAAGATATACTGAGAATATCCTGAAAATATCTGTGGGATATCCTGACGATATCTATGGGATATCTGGAGGACATTTATGAAAGTCTATAGAAATATCCAGAAGATATCCTGTGGATATCCAAAGGATATCCAAGCCGCCGATTTTTTGGATATCCTTAAGAGATCCTTTAGATATCCATAGGACATCCCTAGGATATCTGCGGGATATTATCAATATATCCCAAGATATCTTGTGTTATTAGGGATAAGTTCTTAGAGATATTATAAAATGATATAAATATAAAAATAATTATTAGGCTACTTATAAAATAGGAAAATTTGAGAGTAACATATGAAATCAACCGGTTCTGTTAAGATTTGCCCATATTTTGTGGAATATTTCAAATATAATGTAATTTGATTTAATTTTTTTTATGCGTGAGAAATAAAGTTGTTAATAACAATTAGAAAAGTTGAAATAATTTCTCTTCTGGGACTTGCGTTCCAAGATCAGGATGCGGTTTGGCGAGGTTGTTCCATTTTTTGTGTTTTGTATTCTCTCTCTCGACAACCACATTCGCGTTCTAATCCTGAAACGCGCTTTCGAGTTTATACGAATAACAACCGTCATTAGGAAACATAAAATTTCGAGTAAAAAAAAGCAAAAAAAAAAAGAAGAAGAAGAAAGAAAAGAAATGCCTCCGCATCTTCGTGAGAATTCGTCTGAGAAAAATATCTAACCACTGTTTTTGGAGTTAACCCTCATCTTCATAAAATCCATGCATCATTTATGAGGAAACGAAGACAATGAAGATATTTTTCCAGTCTATATGTCCATTATACGCGTGTTCCCACAGTGTGAATTCACAATATATATATAAATATGTTTCATTATTTCACATATAACAAACCAAAAAAAAGAAAAACTTATTATGTAGTAGATGGAAAATAATTTTTTCCGAGACGAGTAACAAATTATTATATCTGTATTTATAGTCAAAAATTAGGGAAATAATTTCTAAAAATCAATTATTAGATTTTTTATTTAATATAGAATTTCATTGAAATATAATTTTCATTGAGCCGAATTTTATTTGTTCGAATTATTATATATTTTGCAGAATTTTTTATTGAACCGATTTTCAATATTACAGAATATAAATTATTTGTTCGGTCATTTGTAATTCTAATTCTTCTAAAAAAAATTCTATGCAATAAAATTCTACCCAAAATAAAATTATCTAATTTTTACGCAACAAAATTTTATGGTAGAAAATTTTTATTTAACAGAACGTTTATTTAAAAAATTCTAATCTAAAAAATGTTTTGAAATGTGATTAACTTTGTAATAATTTATATTAAAATTTCACGCAAATAAATCAGTTGATAATTTTTATTATTTATTCTGAGAAATAAAAGAAAAATGGACCTTGGGTCTGTGAGACCCCACAGTAGTAATTAAGGGTTAAAAAAAAGGTTTGACAGAAAAAATTGCTTTTTTACATGAAAATAAAATTTGCCTGCGACAAAATTACTTTTTCCACTTGAAATAAGAGCGCGTTGCATTGATAAATCTACTTTTTCCACTGAAAAATAAAATTGTCTGACAAAACTACTTTTTATCTACTTAAAACATGAGTGTTGCCTTGACAAAGGCGCTACTTTTATCTATATATACTTAAAAATAATATTTCATTAAAGAAAATTACATTCTCTCCATTTTAAAAAATCAATATTTATATATTTGAAAATTTAAAAAACAAAAAGTATCTTTTATTTTTCATTCGTAGAATTGATATCATCTTAAAATTTTTTATTGATTATTATTATTATATCGATAGAAGTGGATTTTTTCATTATATATATGAACGTGAATCGTATATTTAATAATTTCTCTCATGGGAATAATATTGTCAAAAGAGAAGGGTTCCATAACGAGAATATAAAATTGCTTTTAAATTTCTTTTATTGTTAAAGATTAAGAAGTTAATCGTTTTTGACGGGGTTAATTTATGCTGAGGAAGAGTGGCCACTTAAAGGGCTAATGACAATTCGGTGGTTGCACGTGCAATACATACGCGCAATACTTATATAGACTTGCTTCCGTGTGTGGTGGAACAAAAATCAAAACAGGCGAATAATAATGCAGTCTGGACGAGGGTCTTAGGCCTCGTATAAGATGCTTAATAAAGGGTGTTCTCGTAAAAAATAAACTCGCACAATTTTATTCTTATTCTAATTTATTATTATATTTCTCGATATTATTTATATATCAATATTTTTATTAAATTTTAATTTAATAAATTAAAAATATTAAAATTATAATGAAAATTAATTAAGATATTAATAAATTTATTAACATTGCTGTAAGATGTGTTATCTTTTTTCAGGCGATTTTTGTTGAATTAATTTTCAAAATTTGATTATGAATTTTACTTACTAAAAATTCAAATTTTGAAAATCCTATTTCGAGACTTTTGGTTTAAATTAAGAATATTTTTATTTTCAAGTTGGTATTAATTTAATATATTTCGTAAATATATTTATTATTAATTAATCAATTTTTTAATAGTACTTAAAATTTGAGAAAAATTAAAACTCAGAATTTTTCCATTTTTTTTTAAATAAAATTTCGTTCACTTTAAATTAGTTAAAATTTCTAATAATTTTTGTCATTTTTCACTAAAACTTTAGTTAAAAAAAATATATATATATTACGAAACCAAATAGTAATATTTTACAAAAAATATTAATGAAACTTTTTGTTAATTTGAATTAGTGAAATTGGCCTCAAAAATCGGCTAAGAAATTAAGAATTTTTTTATTACGCATACGTATCTAAAACTGTAAATCCAGATAGAACGTTCGAAATATGCCATATTTTTACATTTTTGACACCTACCTCACCCTGCTTTTGTCTATTCTAGTTCTCAGCCCTGTATCAAAAAAAGCTACCACTCCCTGCAAAGTGTCACAATTTGGATGTTCCACTGATTATTTTATATTGTCAATAAAATTTTGAAATGATTAATAACCTAAAAAATTATTTTTCGTGTAGGGTAAAAGGTACAGTGACCGACACCTGCTACTAAAAAACGATAATAACTATAAAAATAATAATATTGATTTGAATATCACTAGTAAATTAATTAATATACAATATTTAGAAACTGATACAGATGACACAAAATTTTATATGTTTATATTTCCCTCAATATTTTACTTTCTAGAAAACTAACCTCAAAAAATTTGCTTTATTGATTACAAATTTTTTATAAATACGAAGAAATTGTTAAATAATTATAT